TTGTGGTCAAGTCCTCACTTAGTGAGTCAATACGTTCTGTGACTTTAGCGAAATGACATACAATAAAACCAGTTTATCACAGGCTAACTGATATAAACAAGAGTTCCTGGGCATCTCAGCCAGTTATAAGAAAAGGACATTGAATGAAATGATGTCACTTGAGTACTTGCTGCTGAACATCCACATAATGTAATACTCCTCAGAGCAAAAAGGAACGAACTATTAATACATACTACAACATGAATAAATCCCAAAATAATTATGCTGAGTGAAAGAAGCCAGTTAAGGACACACGTGGGAATGATTCCATTATATAAAAATCTAGGAAATGCCAACTAATATGTAGTGACCACAGATTAGTGGTTGCCTAAGAAGGGTGAGGGGAGATAGCTGTGAGGGACAAAAGAAAAATTTGTGACTGAGGAATCTGTTTGTTATTTTGATTCTATTCGATTAGTGGTCCATAAAACTGTTTTAGAGGTTTTAAAAGAAGAGATTAAAATGCAAGGTAAGGACAGTATATTATCTAAATAAAGTGCTTAAGCCATACAGAAAAAAAAATGCTGAATATTGTTCCGTGTATTCATAAATATGTACGTAATCATGGTTTTTAAAGAACAAGGAGCCCTGGCCTGTGTGGCTCAGTTGGCTGAGTGTTGTCCCAGCACCAAAGGGCTGCCGGTTCTATTCCCCGTCAGGACACATGTCTGGGTGGCAGGTTTGATATCCCTGGTCAGGGTGTGCATGGGAAGCAATCGATCGGTTTCTCTCTCGCATCAATGTTTCTCTCTCCCCCTACCTCTCTCTAAAATCATTGACAACATATTTTTAAAAGAATTTACAAAACAATGACAAGGATATGGACACGGAGTTATATTTTTGGGCAGATGGGGGAGAGACAGATGATTACAAAGAATGTTAGATTGTGTCTTATTGTCTTTTTTTAAAAAAATATATTTTATTGATTTTGTACAGAGAGGAAGGGAGATAGAGAGCTAGAAACATCGATGAGAGAGAGTCATTGATCATCTGTCTCTCGCATACCCCCCACTGGGGATATGCCCGCAACCAAGGTACATGCCTTTGACCGGAATCGAACCCGGGTCCCGTCAGTCCCCAAGCCGACGCTCTATCCATTGAGCCAAACCGGTTCTGACGATTGTCTTTTTTAAAAAATATATATTTTATTGATTTTTAAAAATATATTTTATTTATTTTTTACAGAGAGGAAGGGAGAGAGATAGCCAGAAATGTCAATGAGAAACATCGACCAGCTGCCCCCTGCACACCCCCCTCCGGGGATGTGCCCGCAACCAACGTACATGCCCCTGACCGGAATCGAACCTGGGACCCGTCAGTCCGCAGACCAACGCTCTACCGCTGAGCCAAACCGGTCTCGGCTATTTTATTGAATTTTTGCAGAAAGGAAGGGAGATAGAGAGCCAGAAACGTCAATGAGAAACATCGACCAGCTGCCCCCTGCACACCCCCCACCGGGGATGTGCCCGCAACCAATGCACATGCCCTTCAATGGAATCGAACCCGGGACCCTCCAGTCCGCAGACCGAAGCTCTACCACTGAGCCAAACCGGCTTCGGCTGTGTCTTATTGTCTTTTAAACAAAGACCCCTGGAAAAGATCCAAGACTCTCGTTGGGACCCTCGTGGGGTCCTGGTGGAAGGTACAGTACCCTCCTCAGAAGATGCTTTTGGCCAAACTGTTTGCTGCCACCCAGGGCTGACGGGGATTTAAGGTTATCATGGGCACCAAGGGAGCCCAAGGAACAATCTCTCACATGTCTGGCACGCATGGCCTTATCTCATTTCATCTTCATATATGTCCTTGGGGAGCCAGTGACCTTTCCAAATACAAGTCAGGCCTATGTTCCTCTCCTTGGGCTACCCCCTCTCCTGTTCCCCATCACAGAGCACAAAATGCCAACACCTCACCAAGATCCTACCAGTAGCCTGCCTCTCCTCCAGCCACACGGGCCTCCTCACTGTTCCTCTAACTTACCGAGCACCATCCTGCCCCAGGGCCTTTGCATGGACTCTGCCCTCTGTCAGAACACTAACCCGGATTTCCACCCAGCTTAATCCTTCTTGCCATTCTGATTTCACTCAAAATCACCTCAGGTAGCCATCACTGTCCACCCCCAACTATTTCTACCCGATTCTCCAGTGAACCATGGGCCCCAGGGTGGCTGGGACAGGGACTCTTGTTCTGGCCATGGGGGAGGGGGAGGGAGAAAAAGGGGGGATGCTGGTTGACTTCACATTTCACAGCTGAATGAGGTAATATGTAGTGACATGACCAGTGGCCACCTGGGAACTAGGCACGGGGAGAGATTGCAGACGGGAGCAGGGAAATGTTCACCTCAGTGTGCTGCCATTGGGGGAGCACTGGGCAGTGGCAGCTCGTCCCGGGCTAACCCCCGAACCTGTCTCCAAGGCCTCCTTTTCTCTAGCGCTTTAGTGAGCTGACAGCAGCCCTGCCTTGGCTCACTGCTATCTGTAACATCTTTAGAGACAAAGCAGCCCGTGTGCCCTTCTCACTGCATTCCCGTTATGTCTGCATAGAGCTATTTAAAGAGAAATACTTAAAAAATGAGTCCTACTTTCAAAATGAGATTGCATGTACTTATATTCTCATACACCCGCACACACTGGAAACACGATGAAAACACACGAGCATGAGGGCAGCCATCTTTGCCAGCTGGGCTATTGGTGGTTTTCGTCTTCTTGGTTACAATCAGTGGGACTTATTATTTTAAAAAAGGAAACATCAGCTTATGTTAACATAAGAAGGTAATGGCTGGCCTTTCCTCTGAAATGTGGGGGTTTTTTTTGTTTTTTTTTTTACCAGAGTTCATGATGAGGCCAAAGCCACCTTCCAGACATAGTAAGGGGGACGGCAGGGGAGAGGAGAGATGGCCCAGCCCTCTTCCCCCATGTCTGGAGCACCCCATAGACCTGGAGCCTGTACCAAGAGGCTGTGCCCAGGCCAGGACACTCCCAGGAGCTGGGGCTGGCTGGTGGGAGGGGCCTCCACACAGCCTGGTGCCCCGCCCCCCATACTGGGTAGAATGCTATCCCCTCAAATTTATAACCCTGGAAACCTCAGAATGAAACTATTTGGAAAAAAGGCCTTTGCAGATGTAGTTAGTTGAGATGAGGTTGTACTAGAATAGAGTGGGCCCTGAATCCAAAGACCAGTATCCATATTAGAGACACACACATACGGAGAACACTCAATAGGACTATGGAGGCAGACCGGAGCTATGGTCCACAATCCAAGGAACGCCAGAAGCTGGGAGCCCTGACAGAACCCCTCACAGCCTCAGAATCAGCCTGCCCCATCCCCAGACAGACAATGAGGCTGAATGTTCGATATGGCTTTATTTTCTGATCATCCAACTGTGTCCCACATCCAGCCTGAGCTCTGAACAGTGGCCGGAGCCACCTGGGGAGGAGGGCACTAGCTGGGCAATCCCAGACGGCGCACCCGTCAGTCACATGTGGGCAAAGATGAGTTCCCCCCTCCCGCCCTATCCAACTTCTCATCTTGTAGCATGAGCCCCCAGAGTGGTCAAGCAGAGTCCCCCAGGAAGGGTGGAGGAGGAATGAGGCAGAACCTGTGGCCCCCACGCTGACCTCTCCCGAGGCCCGACGTAGCCAACAGCCGGGGGCCGGCAGGCTGGAGGACAGGACGGCAGACGTTCTCAGGGGCTGCTTTGGCCAAGGTGGGAGGCTGGAGGTGGAGGCAGACAAGAGCCCCCAGAAGAGCCCAGACAGTCCTCCTGCGGGCGGGCTTTGGGGAAGGGGCAATAGCAGGCTGGGTGGGGAGGGGAGAGCCGGTCCTTTTGCCCCTTTACACCACTTCAGTCCTCCATGGTGAGGCTGGAGCCCTCCTCCCTGGTCCTGACCCTCCCCTTAGCATTTAACACTTGATTATATTGCTCTGAATTGGTACACCTGCATCTCCCTGAGGTCCATCCAGTGCTGGAAGCCTCCTCTCCACTAAGAGAGAAGCTCACGCCCATGAGGCACCTGGTTTGTGGACTGCGGGCTTGGTTGAGGCTTGCAGAGCCCACACTTTCCCCTCTGGATCCGACTGATGCATCTTCTGCAGCAAACACTCTGCCCTGACAACCCCCACCGGGCCCCAACATGGTTTCACACCACACCCTCCTTTTCAGAGGAGGAAGCGGCTCAGTTGGGCTAAGAAGGGAGTGTGCAGAGGGAGGGGCCAGTCTCCGGCCCAGGCCTCTCCTCCAGGGCCTCCTTAGGACTGCCTCTGGAGCCTGGGGCCACCAAAGGCTCCCCGCTTCCCTTTGGGAGCCAACAGAGAGGACGCCTGGGGAGATGCTGGCATTCCCTAGGGCGCAGTGAAAGGGAGCAGAGGCCAGAGAAACCCGTGATGAGGACAGCGCAGGGGCCCTGCAGGAAGGCGATAGAGGAGAGGCGGGGGCCTCCAGGTCTTCAGGGCACCACTGTCCAATGGGGTTCTGGGAGACATGAGCCTCAGCCCTGGTCCAGGGAGGAGACATAACATTCCAAGGCCGGAGCTACAAGCTGGGGACCCAGAGGCCGGTGCTGCCCTCTTCAGACCAACATGAAGAGAGCATCCAAGACACTGAGGGGGGTGGAGACAGCGTGGAGGACAGATGCAGAGCCAGTGCCAGCCGTGGTTGGCATCACGAGCAGAGTGACCCTAAGGCTGTGCCGGGCAAACTTCCCTTCACAGCACGGCTTAGCGCCTGAGGGCCATCTCCTGGGCCAGAGGCTCAGCCACCGCTTGTTCCCAAGTCCGTGGTCTGGCCCCAAACTCTACCAAATGCTCCTCCAAGGGAGTTCGAAGACAAAAACGAGAAAGAACCCCCTAAATCCTCAAGAGCAACACAGAAAAGCTCTGTAATTCGGGGGGTTTGGTGAGCCCCTGCAGGCCAGGGGTGGTGGTGAGGGTGGCGGGCAGGGGCACATGGTGCTGGCAGGGCCTCGTCACTGCGTCTTGGCCTTCAGGAGTAGTCTCTGAACTGTTTTGTACAGGAGGTCGAAGTGCTGGAAGCAGTGGGAGGGTGCAAGTGAGTTCAGGAATGAGAGCAGGGACAAATCCCACCAAGGAAGGCCCAGACTGTGGAGTCCACGTGCTTCTAGGCAGGATGGGGGCAAGAACTCACCTGGCCAGGTCGCCCTCCCACCTGCGCCCTGTGAGCTCACCTGGACCGCCGTATAGGCCATGCCGAGGTAGGCGCCGATGCAGACTGCCAAGAGCAGGTCAAAAATGGCCGGTTTGACCCTGGAGAAAGAGGAGCCAGAGGTCAAGGAAGGAGGAGGGACTGGCCACTCCCTGGCTGTCCTGTGGACCAGAGTCCGCTGGATGGAAGGGAAGCCAGGGGGACAGGACTCCTGGTCCAGAGCAGCTCACCTGTAGGCATTCATCACCTGCTTCAGCTGGTCGTAGAAGACAAACTCGGGGTCCCTAGGAGAGAGTGGGTTCTCAGTGGACTCGCCCTGACAGCCGGGCCCCCAGATACCAGACCACCCGGAGGTCCCGCAGCCCAGGGACAGGGCAGGGAGCACCCTCTGTGTGTCTCCCCGAGGCTGCCACCATTCCTCCTGGGAAAGGGCAGTCCTTTATTCTGAAACACCATCTTCCCTACTGCTGTTTTGGTGCTGAAACAATCTTTTAAAATGGAACCCAGGGACTGTAGAAAGTGGACTGGTCTCGGAGGTATTTCTATAGAGGGGGGGGTGGCCATGGCCCGAGAAGCAGAGACCCTCGTTTCGGCTGGGAATCCACTTTGAGCTCCAGTTTCTTCGAAGCGCTCTGCTTCAGGGAGTGCCATGGCTCGGACGGAAGTTGGAAGCCAGCAAGGGCAATGAGCAGTCTAGGGACACCTCCTGCCCATGGACACCACAGGTGCCTCTCCTATCACAGCCCTGAGGTGCCTGCTCGGTGCAGCTGGGGAGCTTGGGAGCCTTGAGCAGAAAAAAGACAAAACTCAGGGGGCCCACGGTGAGGAGGAGCACCCTAAGGGCAGACAGGGACGGGGTACAAGCCACCCGATGCCTGGAGCACAAAAGGCCCAGAGGGTGGTGGAGGTATAGGGCTGCCAGGTAAAACACAGGACATCTGTTCTCTGTGCATTCAGATAAATAAGGAATAGGCTTTTAGGGATAAGTATATCCAAACATTTCATGGGATATACTTATACTAAAAAACAATTTGCTGTTTACCTGGAACTCAAATTTAACTAGTACCCTATAATTTTTGACTTATCATTTAACTTATCATCCAGGATTTTGTTTATTTGTCAATCTGGCACTGGGGGAGGTGTAGAAGTCTAGGAGAGCATGCTTCCTGAGCCTGTTCGGGGCGGGCCCGTCTGCGCCTCACCGCTTGTCAGCCTTGATGTGGTGCTGCTTCACCTCCTTCAGGTAGCGGCTCAGGTAGTGCTCCAGTGTGTTGAGGAACGTGCCATCTTTGTCCACCAACTGGGCAGCCCGGGGCTGGTTGGTGAGCCAGTCCATCACCGAGTCCAGCTGTTCCTGCTGGATCTGCTGTGAGGGACATGGCCATGGTCAAGGGACCCCTTCCTACCACTGGCCCAGGCCCCTGCCCACCCGGCCCGGCGGTTACCATCTGCTCTGTGAAGACGGGCATGTCCGGGGGCGTCCCCTGCAAAGAGGGAGGGACAGGCTCTCAGTCCCGACCCACCGGGTGCACTGGATGGAGGGCCTGCAGCCACCGGGATGGGGAAGGGCTGTCTCACCTTCTCAGTCAGGTTGTAGATGACTCGAGTCAGGGCCTCTGCAATGAGCCTTGTGTTGCGGGTCAGGGTTTTAGAGTCAACCCGGGACCTTCGGGGCAGATTTGGGGGGGGGGAAAATCTATATATATTTGGAATCAGCATCATTTATAATCACCCAAAATCAAGAGCAACCATGTATCTAATGATAATAAAAATAAGAAAAGACACAGTCTCCTTGGGCAGGGCGGGCACCTCTCCACACCTCAGATTCTTCTTTAAAATTGAGGGGGACCCTGCCCTCCTCGAAAGGCTGCCCAGCACCCTTGGGGGTTATTTGCAGGTTCAGAGAAGCAAGCCTGGCTCCTTGTGTCTGCCTGAATGGACTGGACCTTTCTGAGCCTCAGTTTTCTCATCTGGAACGTGGGTGGTCAGAGGACCTGTCTGCATGGGTTGTTGAAGGCAGTTCACACCAAGCACTTAGGATCCAATATCCCCCCCCAAATTCACACCCACCAGAACCTGGGAATGTGACCTGATTTGGAGTAGGATCTTTGCAGATGTGGTTAGTTAGGATGAGGTCACACTACAGTAGGGTGGCCCTACATCCAATGGCAAATGTCCTTATAAGAGGAAAATTTGTGACAAGTGACACAGAATGGGGTGATGCAGTCACAAGCCAAGGGACACCAAGGATTATGGGCAACACAGCCTGAAACGAGAAACGCTGGAGGCAAACCGCCACGGATCCAAGTGGGTGTGAGATGCTGGGACCCGCTGGGACAGGAGAGCAGCGGGGGAGGTGGTTCAACTCATTCTCTTTGTGGCTCAACCTGCAACACAAGGCTCTGTTCCTCTTTCCCTCCAACTCTCCTTTGCTCTCAGCTTCCTCTGCCCTGGAACACCCTGCTCCTGACTCATGTCCCTCGGTTTCAGTGCTATCTCCTCCAAGAAGCCCTCCAGCCCCAGGACCAGCCGATGCTCCCACTGTCCCTGTTCTCACTCTCTGGGTCTTGCCCGTCACCAGGCTGGGCTGAGACCCATCCAGGACCACTCATACTTTCCCCCAGCTGATGTGTGTCCAGGGGCTAGGACATTGCTCAGGGTTGGCCAATGAGAGGGCACAGGCAGACTGTCCCAGGCTCGGGGTTTGGCTCCCAAAACCCCCATCCCCACTGGGGGCAGCCATGCTAGCAGGGGGAACTAATGGGATGTGAGGTCCTGAAACAACGGAAGCCAGAGGTAGCAGCGTCAGAGAGAAGAGTGAGAAAGAAGTTGGTGGGGAGGGCTCCCAAGGAAGCATGAGACAGGGCACAGCTCGCCAGGCAGCAGCACAGCCATGCAAAGGCCTGCAGGCAGAAGCCACAGGTGCTCAGGGTCTAAAAGTCATGCGTAGGGGCTGGAGGTGGGGGGAAGCCACTTGCTGTGTCCCTGTTCCCAGCACCCTCTTGCTGAGTTAGCACAGAGGAGCCACGCTATTTCTTGAGCTGCCAGACTACTGCCACCCCACCCCCCAGCCCACATGGCAAGTTTGCTCCCTCCAGCACCCCTGTCTACTGCCAGCCCCCCCCCCCCTCGGGAAGAATGGTGTTTGGCCGAAACCGGTTTGGCTAAGTGGTAGAGCGTCGGTCTGTGGACTGAAAGGTCCCAGGTTCGATTCCAGTCAAGGGCATGTACATTGGTTGCGGGCACATTCCCGGTAGGGGGTGTGCAAGAGGCAGCTGGTCAATGTTTCTCTCTCATCGACGTTTCTAGCTCTCTATCCCTCTCTCCTCTCTGTAAAAAATCAATAAGATATATTAAAAAAAAAAGAAAAGAAAAGAAAAGAAAAGAATGGTGTTTGTTCGTAGGATCCAGACAGAAAGACAGCTCTGAGATACAGTGGGAGGCCTGGGGCCGCACTCACCGCACGTCCATGATGCTGCTGCGCTGGCCGTCGCGGTGGCTCTCCAGGTGGGACAGGGTGAAGGCAGGCAGCCGGCGGATGGCGAAGCGCTCGTGCTCCCAGGCCAGGATGTCCTCTGCCAGATTGATCTTCTTGTGCACCATCGAGAAGCGCACCTCCGGGAACTGGTGAGCAGCCACCTGTGTGGAATGGCAGGGTCAGGGAGTCCACCCACTGCCCTGGGGTCCCGGCCACACCCAACAAGTCTGCAGAGGGACACCTCACACCGAGCGCATTCTACAAAAGTTCACAGGATCCTGAGAGCCAAGAGGTTCCCATGTCCCTCCCCAAACCTCCCACATTTAGAAATGGGGAAAAACCCACTGCCTCCCAGGAAGCCGACTGAGGCTCACTCAAGGTCCCAGGGTTTGCAAAGCACCTGTTCTGATGGCTGGCTGTTAGTGAACACTAGCTAACAAGGGACAGAGGGCAGATATCCCAGTCTGCCCCCGAGTCCTTGTGATACACTGCTGCCCTCGTCAGGCCCCTGGGGGCCTGCCTGTGAAATGGCCATGTGACTGGCATGGGATCACGTTGCTGCCTGGAAGGCTCCTTTGCCACCAGGGGCACCTACCATCTCCAGCTCCCGCAGGAAGGCGTGCTGCAGCGTCCCCTCCCTGGGCGGCTTGGACACGTGCAGGTGGAGGCTGTTCCCTCGGCCCACGGTGTCCAGGCAGAGGACGAAAGCCACGTTGTCCTGGAGCAGGCTGGAATCTGCGGGAACAGCAGGAGCTGACCGGGTCGGGGGGAGCCAGGGCCCCTGACCACATAGCCTGGGAAAGCTGGGGCCACTAACCTGTGTGGTCCAGGTTGTCTTCTAACCAGCGCTTGGTCCCCTGATAGTTAAATTTGCCCCCTCCAGACGCAAAGAACAGGAGATTATACCTGATGGGGAGAGGAGAGGTGTCAGCTTTGGCAGATGAGTGTCAAGTCCTCAACAAGGAAGAGGTGGTCTCCCCCAAGTGCAAATTCCTGGCCAGCCCTTAGGGCAGGGCTTCCCACTGCCCAATTCCAGTATCAGCACCGGGTCATCCCTGTGTGGGACGGTCCTTGGCACTCCGGTGGCTGAGAAGCATTTCTGGCTTCCATCCGCTCGATGCCAGGAGCATGCCCAGGTGTGACAGCCACAGACGCCCTCAGACATAGTCTAGTATCCCCTAGGGGATACCTGGGGGGGAACCGCTATTCCAGAGGCTTCTCTGAGCTCTCAAAACCAGGAGACAACCTGGTTTCAACCGACGAGGAAACAGACCCAGAAAGAAAAGGTGAAAGGAGTCAGCGCTGCTTTTCCTGAAGCAGGACTAAAGCCAGGGCTGCCACAAAGACCATATCCCTGGCCTCCCTCTTCCTCCCTGTACCCATCCCACCAGGGCCACAGCAGTCCTTCTAGGAGAGAAAAGACAGAGAGGGGGCATCTGAGGAAGGAGAGAGAGATGGAGTTACGCAGCCACAGCCAAGGAATTCTGAGGACTGCAGGTAGCTCCCAGGAGGTGGGGAAGGCAGGAAGGACCCTGCCCCAGAGCCTTAGTGGGGAGCATGGCCTGTGACAACTTGATCTCGGCCTTCTGGCCTCCAGAACTGGGAACATAACTGTTTGCTATTTTAGCTACTATGTGCGGTGTTTGGTGACAACAGCTCTAGGAGACTGACACTCCCGCTGAGCCCCTTTCTGCCCCAGGGCAGCGTGATGTGTGGGCGAGTAAACAAGAACAGCCCAGCCCCGTGTCCACAGTGCCAAGAGAAGAAAACTAGTTTAAGTGACTGTTTTAGTGTTTCTATTACTACTTACAAAGCATCCCCAACTCCTGGGCAGGATTCCAGGGGATGAGTGTGGGAGGGGCCTCGCCTATGATAGCCCTCAATACAGACACTTATTCCTGGGGCTGGAACTGCACCTGGGCCACAATCAGCAGGTGGCCCCCCTGGCCCTCAGCCCTCCCTCCCGGCCATCACTTACGCAGCATGGGTGCGCTTGTAGGTGTACAGCCTGGAGAAGAGGCGGGCGAGCTCCAGCAGCACGGAGATGCCGCTGCCGTTGGAGTCTGCGCCATGTGACAGCCACTGTGGACGAGCGAGACGAGACCAGCCGTCACCCCCCACCAGCCACGCATGGCACCTCACTGCCCTCCTCCCACAGCCCTCTGCCCGTGCAGTCTTGTCCCCACTCCACATTTAGAGCAGACCTGCGATGGCTACCCTCCTCTGCTTAGAACCCGGACTGACAGCACCTCAAAGTCCTCAGGGATGAGCGCCCGAACACTGACGCTATTCTGAGTCTCCTTGCCCACTGCAACTCTGCCCTGTGCCGGGCAGAGCTGTGCCACCAGGGCTGCCCCCACCCACAGCCTCAGCATTGCACTTGGACCCTCACTCCCTTCACTATGGGGGGGACTTGGTGCAGATTCCCTCCTGCCAGACCCCCAGCCCTCTGCACCTTCCCTCAACTCATCTGGGTTCTGTGATTGAAAGCAGTCCTCCGATGGGGCATGACAGTTTCTTGGGGAAAGAAAAAAATCTTGGATTCCATAATGGCTTAGGACTCTCCGCAGGCTACAGTACATTAAACAATACACAGTGTATCAACAGAAGTAAAATTCATGGGGAAAAGGACCATGATGCTCAGCAAGAGCCAGACACCAGAGGCCACAGAGTGTGTGATTCCATTTATGTGAAACGTCCAGACTAATAGGGGTGGGGATGATGGAATGTTCTGGAATTAGAGAGTGGAGATGGTTATACAACCTCGTGACTATATTAAAAACCACTGTGTGCTTTTAAAAGAGTGAATTTTGCATTATGGAGTTATATTAAAAAAAAAAGTGTTTTAATTTCAGACAGAAATTAGGACAAAAGTGTCTAAGAAGGAATAACGAACACGTTGAGAAGCGTTGTTCTAGCTGCTCAGAGCCTGTCTCTGGGCCCCGGCGGGTCCAGGTGTTCTCAAGGATGGCCCTGGCCTTCCAGAAGGTGTGGCCCCGGAAAAGCTATCACTGGTCGGTGGCACAGTCAAAAGCTCACACAAGGCTGCAGGTCCATCACCAGCAGCACCTGTTTGGTTCAGCTGGCTGTTCTTCCAAAGACTTTCTTGTCAAAGGAAGGAGATTTACACTTTGGCCCAGTGTCGCCATGCCGGGAGCTGGGAGAGGTGGCCCAGGGATGCCTGCCGCCTGCAGGAGGGCTAAGCGCACCTCAGACTTCTCTCTTCAGAGAGGCTGGTCTGCAAGGCCGGCCCTGGGCAATGTCTGGAACTCGACTCTGGGGGCTCCCCACCACCCTCACTGATGGGGGCTCCTGGACATAACCTGTCTGTGCCAACACATGACTCATGCTGTGCACATGCTCTCCTCCGGAGTCTGGATCTTGTACTTGCCAGGCCGAGGGGCCTATATGATCGGTCCCCAGTGAGAACTCTGGGCACTGGGTCTTTCTGAGCCCCTGGGGACTGCACCTCACATGCATGGTCACATCTTGTTTTGGGGGAACAAGTGAACACTGTGGACTCTGGGAGCTGTGCCAGGTACCCAAGTGCTTTGCCCTGGGCTCAGTACTATCTCTGTACGGACTACTGCCATGAGGACAACCATCTGCTGAGTCCTGGGTGAGTTATTGACGGAGTCTCTTGGAGACCCTAACAGACACGCCGGGCTCTATTCCCAACCCAGCCACCTATCTGCAATGGAACCCTCTCCACGAGACCCGCCCTGGTTTCACCTGTCTCATTGGAAGATGACAGCCACCCTGCAGGGTCCTCAAGGAGCCGAGGCAATGCCTAAAGGGCTCCAGAGTGGGCGCTGCTCCGCTGCCCACAGACAGCCGCTTCTGCAGGGGAGCGGCTGAGCAGTGCGGGAGGAAGGCCCCCCTCCCCTCCTCTGAGGCGAGCGTATACGTACGGGAGCCACTCCAAAGGCATCGTAGTGAGCCACAATGACGATGGTGGGCAGGTCCTCTCCACCCAGACCCGTCAGCCGTCCCTGCGGAGAGACAATCTGTGAGGCGGCAGCCAGCTGGGGTTCTGACCCCCAGAACAGTCTAGGTTACCCGACCCAGAAGGACGGGGCGGGAGAGTAATTTTAGCTTTGCTAGCTCTATGGTCTGTCATAACTTGTCAGTTGTGGGTGACCTGTGAATGAATGGGCGTGGCCAGGTGCCAATGAAATTTTGTAGAAATAGGCTGACGGCTAGGCTTTAGGCTTGGCCAAGGGCTGCAGTTTGCTGACCACAGCTCTAGCTACAGGAATCTGCTCCATCTTCTGAGTGTGCTTCTTCCTGGACACCAAGCCCACCCTTCAAAGGCCGTGCTCCAAGCCACCGTTCTGAAGGGCAGAGCCCTGTGGACAAGGAGAAATGGTGCAGCCAGGAATGGAGCCCTACGAGCCCCACTGCAGGCCCAGCACTGGCTGGGGACAGTGGGAGGGAGGCCAAGCACCCCACTTCCTCCCTGCCCCCTGCTTCCCAGGTGAATAACAGGAATGGCAGAGGACTCATGGCGGAACCAAAGACCATGGCAACCAGGCTGGTGGGTTGGAACAGAGACTCAAATGTAAGATGGGCCTGACTGCCGAGGCTCAGGATCAAACCTATGAACAAGGAAATCACTTGTTCAATTCCCAGTCTGGACACATGCTCGGGTTTCAGGTTTGATCCCCAGTGTTGGGTTGCAGGAGGCAGCCAATCAATGATTCTCTCTCATCATTGATGTTTCTCTCTCTCCCTTGCCCTTCCTCTCTGAAATCAATAAAAAAAGTTTTCTTTAAAATGTGAGAGGGACCCACCAGACTCACAATGGCTCCATCTGCTGTGATCCCCTGGGAGTATGATAACAAGGACTCTGGCCAGTACAGTTTTCTCTGTCCAAATCACCACCATCTCTTGTGCAGCTTAAAAAACGTATTCATCTGATTATTGTATCAATTGCTCAGAGGCTGCAGCAGCGTCCCCTTATCCTGAATCAGCCTATCAGCCCTGCTAGCTGCCTTGCCACCTCCCCAAAGCCCCCTTCAGTCTCTGTAGGAATCTGAGTCCTCTCCTCACTGCCACTTCATTTGGCTCCAGGCCTCAGCCTGGATGTCCTTGAGTGACCCTCTGAAATTTGAGAGAAATTCAAGGGAAATTACAGAAAGGCGTGGGATTCTTGATTGACTTTGTTTTTCTGTTAATCCTCAGCAGATATTCCCCCCGTGATTTTTAGAGAATGTGGAAGGGAGGGAGGGAGAGAACATCAATGTGAGACACACTGATTGGTTTATTCCCACACACACCTCAACCAGGGCTGGAAACGAACCTGCAACCCAAGGCATGCCCTTGCCTGGGAATCAAACCTCAACCCTCCGGTGCGCAGGCCAAGACCTACACTGAGGACGCCGGCCAAGGCTCAGCTGATTATGTGTGACAAACAGCTCTAAGGCAGATTCACTTAGTGTGGGAGAGGAGGAGTGACTGCACCCCAACTTCTACCAGATTCTGCACAGTGACATGGGGGGCATTGTCAAGCAGCCTGGCACCATGTGGTATAAGTCCCTGGGAATTTGGGCCTACAGAAGCCCCATTAGTACAGAAGGCAGTGCCTGGCCCAAGCAGAGGGCTGAGGAGACCACTATGCTCGGCTGTAATGGACCTAACTGGACAGTAGGCACCAGGGTGGGCTCTGAGGAGGAGGCAGTAGTTCCCAGGGACTCGGCAGAGGAACAGGATTCACACTCACCTCCACGCTGGTGATGAGCCAGTCGCTCAAGGCCTTGCTCTGGACCCCGCTGGTGACCATCTGGAAGCCATTGGCAGTGGCAGTGTGGAGCAGCACTGGGGACAGGAGTAGTGAGGGATCAATCCAAGGGTTCCCTGACCACAGCCAGCATCCTCATCATCCCAACACCCTGGACCCTAGATGGTCTATGCAAAAAGCTGTATGCAAAACTGACCACATGAACTAGAAAGCAAGGGGACGACTGGACATGGAAAAGAGCCTGGGTGTCCAAGATAAGAGCTGTGAAACAGTCACCCCAACCCCAAGCAGGCAGGGTGCCCTCACCCTACAATACCCTGGGACTTCATTCCAAATTTACAGAGGCATGTTCATGTCCCCTGACCCAGCCTTCCAAGGACCAACTCAGCACCCATGAAGATGGTCACTCTAGAGGTGATTCAGAAACAGGAGTCTCCTATCGGATGGCCTATGATCCACCAGCCCATCCCCAAAGGCCCAAACAGCCTAAGTTTCCAAAGCTTTGGAACTCGCTTGCTCATGACCAGACACAAGGCAGTGCCACCTTGCTCACTGTGAGCAAAGGAACCACTGTGGATGTTTCCCACTCACCGTTTAAATAAGCATTTCGGCATGCTGCAAAAACTCTACCCTGATGTCATTTTAATGGCTGCATAATATTCCACTCAGTAGAGGATTCCTCCCCTCTGCTCTGATTGGAAATTTAGGTCTTCCCAAAATCCCCTCTTCTGCTGCCACAATGCAGACAGATACTTTCAAGACTTTGATCCAAACCAGGGGCTGACAACCTTTTTCTATAGAGCCAGAGAGGCAATATTTTCTGCTCTGCTCTGCCACAGCCATTCAACTGTGCTGCCGTGAAAGCCACCATACAAAACAAATGGACACAGCAGAGTGGCAATCAAACTTTCTTTACACTGACAGCTAAAAGCTGTAGTTTGTCAATCCCCAATCTAGCATCCCATGCAGCTCATCTCTGGCCAGGAAAGCAAACCTTTTACAACGTAACCACACACTGCCAGATTGTTTCCCAGGAACGGGGCCAAGTCTCCCAGTGTGGACAAGCCCTCCTGCCTTGCCCACGCCTGTCAGTTCTGGATATTCTCCTGTTGCACCTGCCGTTTCAATAGGTGAGAACAGAGGGTCAGGTGGCTCCTTTCAGCTGCATTTCTTTGACTAATCCTGCTATCTCACTCCTGCTCCCAGCTCACCACAGCATCCCCGGTCCATGGCATAGGAGGCAGGTTTTCTCCTCCGCCCAGGAATGCTGCTGACCCACCCTGATGTATTCAGCAGGAAGGACAGAGAAAACTGAATAGATGCCATGTTTCCCATAAACATCCGGAGGCTGAAGACAGGAAACACCTCCTCCAAATTAGTAGTGCTCAAAGCTTTTGTCTGCCTGAAAATCAGCGGTGGCATAAGGTGGGGCTATAAAATGCAGAGTCCTGGCCCCCAGCCCAGAGACTGTGACACAGCAGGTCTGGGGCAGGGCCTGGTAACTTGCACTGTTAAGTATGGATGATGTGCTAAGGGTTTCAGAAGTGGCACAGTGTGACCTGGACCTCCACAGGGAAGGCTCCCCATGAACCCGCTGGGCTCCTGCAGCCCCACACACCCTCAGCAGCAGAGGCGGAGCCCTGGGAGGCAGAGGCAGCCTGGGTCTGCTCATAGATGGAGAGCAGGGCCTCATCTTCCACAGCGAAGTACACAGGAACAATGGTCTCCATGGCCAGCATCTCAGGCTCAATCTCCATGAATTGCTGTGAAAGTGACACACAGTTAGGTGACTTATGGCCTGGGGGGTGCCCAAAGCTGTCCCTGGAGGGCAGACAGGCCAGGGCCTGAAAGAATGCCTCCTCTGGGCAGCTAACAAGGCTAGGATTGCGCCGAAGAGAAAGGGGCAAGAAGGAGACGGAGGGACAGGTGAGGTGGGGCGGTGCCCAGGGGCCCCCGGATGGTACCCAGCAGGGAGGAAGTGGGCTGGGAGAACAGGCAATGGAGCCGTCCTTCCCTCACACACGTGGGCCATCACATCCTTAGCAATAAGTGGACAATGGGTGCTGGCTTCCTAAGCTGACAGCAGGGCCCCAGATGGACAGTGGGCATAAACTGCATGCCTGGCACTGATCTGGCTTTTGGAAAACGTGGGCTGCTGACCCTACCCAACCCCCACTGTCCCACACCCCCTTCTCAAGTGCAAAGCATCTTTATCGCAGAATCTTGGGGGATCCTATCAGACCCTGTTCATTCAAAGCAGACCTCTGCCCCTCAGCAGTGCTGACATCAAGTCCGGGTCACTCTCTGTGGGGTGTTGAACAGCACCCCAGTGACACCCACCTGATGCCAAAAGCACCCCCAGTTGTGGCAACCACAGATGTCCCAACATTACCCAGTATCCCCTGCAGAGTCACTCCAGGGGATAGGGACCAATGGTGAAGGGGATCAGGTGCCATCCACTTCCTGAAGGACAAAGGCTCAAGGGCTCAGGGGAATGGTTTGCCACACAGCTGACTCCAAATCCGGGGTCCCCTGTCCCACAGAAGCTCCTGGACCCTGGCCTGCACAGAAGGTGGGGAACGGGGGCTCACCCGAATGACGTCCTGGGGCACGGCAGCCATGGCCCGTGGCAGGATGATGACCACGGCACCAGCCAACTGCCGCAGAGCCTTCTGGTACTGCTCATAGGAGAAGTCTAGCAACCGCATGAGCACGCAGCGGCGACTCAACACGTCTGCATCGATGGTTCGCGCCTCCGTGTTGAGCACTGCATTCCGTGTGCCTATGGGGGAGCCAAAGGGTGGGGTGCTCCCTCAGCAGGGTCCAAGGCCTTGCCCAGAGAACACCAACTCAGTAACCCCAGAGTCCCACCAGCCCTCTGCCCACATGCCCAATACATGTCTGCCATGGCCAGCATCCCACTGCATTGAATGCAGTGCCCACGTGAATCCTGGAGAGTTGCAGGGGGGCCTTTTGAGAACCGAATGAAAGCTGAGACTTTCCCCCCTGGACAAATCTGCAGGCCCGCCCCTCCCCTGATTCCCAGAATCCTGGGGCAAACCCAAACTCTGGGCCTGGCTATCCTGAGCCCGGTGGCCCCTTCCTGCCTGCACCCCCTTCCCTCCAGGGCCCTAACATCGCCTTGATTGTTAATCCTCTAGGTGGGGCCTCAGCATGTTTATGGCTATTTATTCCTCATATAAACTGGGATTCAGGGATCAGAGACCTCATTCACTGCAAAGTAACACCAGCACAGCCACATACTAGTACGTACTGACAGATTCATGTGTTATTGTTTTTCTATTTTTATTTATTTCAGAGAGGAAGGGAGAGGGAGAGAGAGACAGAAACATCAATGATGAGAGAGGATCATTGATCGGCTGCCTCCTGCACACCTCCTACTGGGGATCGAGCCCAAAACCCAAGCATGTGCCTTTGACCAGAATCGAACCTGGGACCCTTCAGTCTGCAGGCCAAGGCTCTATCCACTGAGCCAAACAAGCTAGGGCTGTCCCAACAGATTCTTGATAAACATCAGCCAGGAGAACAAAGGAACAAACGCTAAGTCCCCCAGTAACCCTCAGAAAGTTCCGGAAATGCCAGGGTCTCTCCCACTCAGCACAGTAGATACTAGTGTTGGGTTGTTCTCTGTGGGGGGCTGCCCTGGGCCCTGTGGGGAATTGAGCAGCATCCCCTGCCCCGCCTACTGGATGCCAGGAGCACCCCCAGGTGTGACAACCAACGGATGTTCCCAGACATCTCCAAGTGTCGCGCCAGGTAGAAACTTCTCGCTGCTCTACTAGTACATTCAATCGCCATATTCTGCCTCTCTTCTAAGAGCTCAAGAAAGATCCAGGGACTCAGGGAAGAAGGGAGAGGCTGAGTCTTGGCCTGGACCCTGGCCACCCACAAGCTTCCCATGGGCAGCTGAACCTGCACCCCATCAAAGTGGCAGGTCAGACCAGGAGGTCGCAGAGAGCTTTCCTAAGGCAGCCCCTGGGCGCACAGCACGTGAGCACTGTGTCCTGGAAGTTCTGCTGGAGGAAGGCGTCCCAAAGAAGCCCTTTGAGGTTAAATGCTGGACTGTGGAGGGGGCAATACGTCTACATAACTCCCCACAGGTACAAGGAAGTAGTGGCAGGCCCTTGGGGGCCATCTTTTCTCTTTTTAAATCCTACCTCCAGGGCATGCTGAGAGAGAGGAAGGGAGAGAGAGAAAAACATCAATTGGCTGCCCTCTGTATGTGCCCGACCAGGGATCGAACTGGCAATCCTTTGGTGCACAGGACGATGCTCAACCAACTGAGCCACACTAGCCGGGAAAGGGAGCCATCTTTTCCAATGGAATGCTGGGTAAGGGGGCTCAGTCAGCCCCAGTGTCAGAGCCATTTACATGCTGCCAGAAATCCCAACTCTTATATCAAATCACCCCAATTGTAAAGACAAGCAAGGAGTCCAGAACATTTCACATGCTGCAGGCTGACTCAGGCTGAAGCAAGCAAATAAACCCTAACCACACGGGGGCTGCATGGAGCCCCCCAGAGCCTCCAGTCTGAGACCCACTCGGTGAGCAGAGGACACGGAGAAGGGATCTGGCACACCCAGGGGGGCCAGCCCTCAGCCATTCTGGAGGTGGAAGCAGCTCAGGGGAGGCGCCACCCATGCACGCACAGATGCAGACCTATGCTAGGCTACACTGAGCCCAGGCTCGGGGCCAGGAGCCTCGATCCCTGCCTCTGCTTTCCAGGAATGAGCTCTTTGGGAAAGTGAGCAGACAGAAGGCTTGCTTTAATGGCATGCCCTAAGAGGATGGTGGGGAGAGAAGGCCGAGGACACGGAAGAGGTAGCATCTAGGTGGGAACAGGGAGGGCCATCTCTGGCAGGGGGTTAAAATGCAACCAAGGAGTAAAGGTGGGCCATATGCCCTGGGCCAGGGTACCCTGCCTCCACCCCCAATCCTCCAGGGAACTTCTCTCTGCTTTAAGCGGGGGAGGGCAGCAAAGACCTTCAGGATGCCCTTGAAAGTCTTGGAATACTCAGAAGGCCCCTCCTCCACGCCCCACCTGTTTTGTGCCCTCGGGCTCCCAGAGGTGGCTCAAATGTCACCTCAGGGGTGGGGACATAAAGGGCAGCCTGTAGAGCCTTCTGTGTGCATCTTCTCCCTGGGCCTGGTGCTCCTACAGGGCAGGAGTCAGGACCCCAATTTCCAGAGGGAGGAAGCAAGGCCAGGGAAGGAAGGAGGGGGATAAGAGGAAGGCCAGGGACTGTCCCCCAGACTCTGAGCACCCCAAGGGCAGAGACCATCTTCACTGATATGAAGTTAGAGCCAGCACAGCCTCCTACATCCCTGCTCTAGACCAGCAGAGGCTCAGGCTTGGTACAGGGCACTGGACACCTGGACAAATGTTACTGGTTCCCACTATGGAGCCTGCAAATTTTCTATCGAGGACCAGAGGATCAACTCTCTTGCCTGGGTGGGCCATACCAGCTCTGTCATGACTATTCAGTTCTGCTGTCAGAAACACATCAACTAGTGGCTGTGTGTCAATAAAACTTTATTTATAACAATGGCTAAAGGGCCAATCCTAGGTAAAGCAGCCCTGGCAAGTCTGCCCAGCATGGTGCTGGGGTTCTAACACCCCCACCTCCTAGGGCCTGTGGAGCCACCGTGCACCAGCACCAAACAAGTGCTGTTAAAGCAGCAGCCACCTCAGAAAGGCCAGAGTCCACCTGGTAGGGGGAGGCCACACCTGCGGCCCTGTTCCTGGTGTATTTCCCTCAGTACTTTCACAGCAGCAGCACAAAGAGCACTCGCCTTTCCTTCCTGGGCAGCTGCCCAGCCCTGTTTCTTAAGAGGAGCGAACAGGAAGTTGGGAAACGAGCCACTCTGAGCCACTCTGAGCCGGGATTGCACCAGAGTTGGGGAGCTGGGGCGTGCACTCTAGGAGAGGGCGTGAAAGACACCGAGGAGACTGCAATCAGCAGTGACCTAGCCCTCCAGTTCTCAAAGGCACCACTGGCAGGGAGAGACTCAGGGCTTCTTCCGGCCACACCAATCCTGCTGCTGCTGTTGCTGAACAATAAGCAGCAATGCCTCAGGCCCCTGAGGAGCCTCCCCTCCACCAACTATCCCACCAGCTTCTCCCCAGGTCTGCCCAACATCTGAGCCAGGGATATTGCAGGGTGTGTGGGGGTGTGGACATGCAAGCCCCACTGGCAGAGCCTCATTCAGATTTCTCAAGCCAGACCTCTGTCTCCCTCCTCTGCAGATAAGCAGCACTTGGCTAAAATAGGTGGGTGCCCCACCAGGCCCCCTCCGATCTCCCTGGAAGCCAGATAGAGGGCAAGAGGTGTCTGTGTTTCTCACTAGGAGCAACAAAGATGGGGGCCAAGAAAGGGGGAGATACCAAGTATATGTGGAGGGAGATACCAAGTATAAAAAAAAAAAAAAAAAAAAAAGAATGGGAGGGAATGCCAGTGTCAGGAGCAAAGGACTTAGAAAATGGCGGGAAAAGGGGAAGGGGAGAAAAACAAACAAACAAACAAAAAAAAAAAACAACTAGGGGAAAGGAGAGGAGGCCATGAGAGAGGTTACGTAGGATCTGCAATGGAGGGAGATGGAAAGCATGGCTCTGCATTCAGAAAGATGGTGCCTTGACACCTGTTTGCTCCACAAAATCAGCCAGCACTTCCTGGGTGGGTTTGGAGGGGAGAAAGGAGACCACATCAGGTGCAAGTAGGGCAGTGCTGAAAGGGCTGGGGGTGTCCAGGCTGTGAGATTACAGCTGTCCAAGGGGCCAGAGAGAGAAGCTGGGTGTGTTGGGAGGACAGGAGGCTCTTGGCAAGGCTTCTGAGTGTGAGTCGTTTGGGTTGGGCAGAATGACAGGTGTGAGCCGAAGGAACTGAGACTCAGGGTCTGGAGAAATTGGTTATATTGAGTTTTAGGATCTGGGCCTTCTGGATTGTGGATTCCTGTAGGAAACCAATGAAAATTCTCGACCAGGATGGCAGCCACCCGTCACACGTGATTATGTGACTTTATCACAATTAAATAACACTAAAAATCACCTTCTATAAAAGGGAGAGATCAACCAAAGGACTCATGTGCGTACATATAAGCCTAAGCAGTGGTCAAAGACAACAAGGAGGTAGGGGCATGCGTGGGGAGGGGTGGGAGATGGGAATGGGGGGGATGAGGACAAATATGTGATACTTTAATCAATAAAGAAATTAAAAAAAAAAATCTCCTTCTGTGGCATGAACCACATCTCAATTGCCCAGTGGCCACCTGGGGCTGGTGGCTCCCGCATGAGTGAAAACACCGAAGCCATCCACCATCACAGAAGGTCCACTGTACAGACTGGCCAAGACCCTTGCTCCAGGAGAAGGTCAATACACAGAAACGTGCCCACAACATTAGCGCTCCTAGCCCCACCCCCACTCCTCCAGAGCCGAGGCCTCAGGCTCGGGACCATCACTGAAACCTTTAGTTTCTCCCCTCAGCCCTGGGGCCAGATCTTCCTCTGGGTGGGGCTGTCCTGGGCACTGTGAGGTGATAAGCAAGACACCTGGCCCCCACCCACTCAAAGCACCCCCGCTATGACAATCATAAAGTCATTCACCCAATGAACCCTGGTGACAACCACTGCTGTGAACAGAAAGGGCATAACTCTGTGGCTAGGGGAGTGAGGGGAAGTCTGGACTCGTCTCCAGAGCCTGAGGCTCTCCAAAGGTTTGGGGCCTCAGAGGTCTCAGGTTGGGCCTGAGGTGGTCCAGGAGGAGAGAGGACCAAGAGAATTGGAGAGGGAGGCTCCTTTATCAGGAAGTCAGGCTTTGACTAGAAGGGACTTAAAGCATCAGGCTGGAAGAGAAACCAGAGGCCAGAAGGTTCTGGAACCACAGATACAGACATGTGGTTGGAAAGAGACCAGGGAATTTAGGATAACTTGGGTGCTGGGGTGAGGACCACCATAAGCAGGTGAAGAATCAGGAATGGGGGAGCAAGGAGCTGGGCAGGATCCAGGCCCGGAATCAGAGACAGTACAGAAATCCTGGAGTTCCTGGAAGCTGGGAGTGAGGAAGAGGAACCGAGGGGTGTAAACACCAAAGGAAAGGTCAAGACATGGGGTCCAAGGGATCCTCAGGAGCCTAAGGCATGGGGCCGAAACGGGGGGAGCGGAGTGTGGCTAAGGAATCCTGAGGAATCTGGCTCATGAGCTGGGACCTCGAAGAGCTCAGAGCCTGGAGAGAAATGGGCGATGACCTGTGCTCTAGAGTCCTGAGGGGAGCAGAATGTGGACACGGAGGTACCCAGGGGCTGTGGAAAGCAGGGGCTGCTTGGGGCGGCACGTGGGGCGGCTCCCCTGGCACAGACCCTAAGCGAGGTGGCTCACCTCCAAACTCACCAGGCCAGAGGGTGAAGCTCTGGGAGCAGAGCAGAGGATGGCACGCGGTGGACACCCTGGGCATACGCTGGCCCAGCCGCGAAGTGGCGAGGGGACCCCGGGAAGATGCGGGAGCCGGCGCGGGGGATTCCTGGGGCACTGGGCGGAGAGCTGGGGGCCTAGCGGAGATCCAGGCACCCATGCTCTGACTCACATGGGCCTAGGCGAGGGTCTGGCAGCCGGACAGGCCGGGGAGGAGGGTCCTAGGGCCCGGGAAGCAGAGACCCGGTTTGAGGGAAGGGGGCATCTCAGCTCGGGGAGCCTGGGCTCGGGGAAGGCCGAGAGGAGGCCGGCTGAACCAGGGGCCGTGGAGTGGGGCGGAGGGGAGGCGGGGACCCGGGGAGGCCAGGAGGGAGGCCGGGGTCCACGCACCGTAGGGCTGCCCTTGCAGGTCGTACTGCTGCATGCGGTAGACGGTGAACTCGTGCGCCGCGTCGGCGGCGGGCAGCGGCGGCGCCACCAGCAGCAACACGGCGGGCAGGAAGACGATGAAGCCGAGCGGCAGGCACGACGCCTTCAGCATGTTCTCCAGCACCTCGCCCGCTTCCTCCAGCATCCTGGCCGGCGGGGGAGCCGCGCAGAGCGGCGGCTTGGACGGGACAGCGGCGGCGGCAGCGGCGGCAGCGGTGGCAGCGGCGGCGGCGGCGGCGGCTCCCGCAGACTCACCTCAACATGGGTAGCCGCCGGGGTCCTGCAGACGCGGAGCCGGGCAGCCCGGGCCCGCCCCGGGGTCCTGCGGGCACTGCCGCGGACCGCCCCGCGCCGCCGCGCTGCCTCCTGGGAGGCGTACTTCTCACGGCGCGCGCGAAGCCGCCTGGGAGTTGTAGGCCCATCCTTTACTCCAGAAAGCTAGCTGTGGTGGGCTGTGCGGCTAAAACTGCTCAAGTTTCACTTAAACTCCAAGTCAGAAAATACGGAGACTTAAAAAAAAAAAAAAGAACTATTTGAAGTGGAATTTATTTAAACCTGTCCTTGCTGTGGGAGGAGGGGGAAGTGACTGCGGATGTAGAACTTGACCTTGAACCGAGCAAAAAAAAAAAAAAAAAAAAAGTGGGTAATGTAGGGAGGGGCCTGCTTGTTGCGCTTTGTCTCCTGGGAGTTGTAGTTTCATAGAGCAAGCACAGGGTAATCATTGAAGGTGTAGTCTTCCTTGCAGAAGTCTGAAAAAAATCACTTAAAACTTCCAAGGAGTATAGATGTTAAACTTCGATGGGGGCGAAGACTTTAGTCTTCTTTGTGCATTGGTGTACCCCCGGAACCTAATAGAAAGCCTCGCACACAATGAGTGAACTATATAATTTTGGGATGAATGAATGTAGAAATCATAGAAGGTTCCTAAAGGGATGACGTAATGGATTATGGGACTTGTAGTCTGGAACCTGAAGTTCTTGCAGAGATTGGTGACATGCTTATTCATTTTGGGGTCATAATCATTGTAAGATTATGACCCCAAAATGACGTCCCGCTTTTGGCAGGACAGTCCCGAATTTTAACAATTTGTCCCGCGACCCGGGAATTTTTAAAAAGTCACATTTTTAAAAATTTATCTTTATTTTTTTAATATATATTTTATTGATTTTTTACAGAGAGGAAGGGAGAGAGATAGAGAGCTAGAAACATCGACCAGCTGCCTCTTGCACACCCCCTACTGGGGATGTGCCCACAAACAAAGTACATGCCCTTGACCAGAATCGAACCTGGCACCCTTAAGTCCACAGACCGACGCTCTATCCACTGAGCCAAACCGATTTCGGCCTCGTGATAACTTTTAAAACGCTGTGGGATGCAGGACAAATTGTTAAAAATCGGGTCTGTCCTGCCAAAAGCGGGACATCTGGTCACCTTAATAATAAAAAATTATTCACCAGAAACTGAAATTTAACTGTGTGTCCCAAGTTTTTTTTTTTTTTATACAGAAAGGAAGGGAGAGAGATAGAGAGCCAGAAACGTCGATGAGAGAGAAACATCGACCAGCCATCTCTTGCACACCCCCCACAGGGGATGTGCCTGCAACCAATGTACATGCCCTTGACCGGAATCGAACCCGGGACCTTTCAGTCTGCAGACTGACGCTCTACCACTGAGCCAAACCGGTTTCGGCTCAAGTTTGTATTTTCTAATCTGGTCACCCTAAGAATCCCCTGTCTCTGGGTCAGGGATCTTGAGAAGCATGAGTAACTCACACCCTCTTGTACAGATGGAAAGACTGAGGTCACAGGGTGAAGAATACAACAGTCCTGGCCCACAACGTGTTGATATCCCAGGCTCTGATACGGTGGCATTTGTGTTGATTAATAGCATTGAGGTTAAGTCCCAGCACCTCCACTTCCCATCTGTGTAACCTTGGGCAAGTCACCACCTCTCTGAGCCTCAGTTTCCTCATATATAAGAAATATAAGAAAAACAGAGGTGGCAGTATGACGAGTTGACTCCGGGGGCCCGGCGAGGAGTGCCCTGGCCACAGCTGCGGGGGCCGATAGCAAGCGGAAACTGCAGATCGGGGTCAAGAAGCGGGTAGACCACTGTCCCATCAAATCACGCAAGGGGGACGTCCTGCACATGCACTACACGGGGAAGCTGGAAGATGGGACGGAGTTTGACAGCAGCCTGCCCAAGAACCAGCCCTTTGTCTTCTCCCTGGGCACAGGCCAGGTCATCAAGGGCTGGGACCAGGGGCTGCTGGGGGTGTGTGAGGGGGAGAAGCGGAAGCTGGTGATCCCATTGGAGCTGGGGTATGGAGAGCGGGCACTCCCCCAAAGATCCCAGGTGGTGCGACCCTAGTGTTTGAGGTGGAGCTGCTCAAAATCGAGCGACGTTCAGAACTGTAGCCGAGCTGGGGAGGGCCGGTGGAGAGGCCCCATCAGGGACCAGACTGTTTAAGAAAAAAAATCTTAAATCTCAAAAAAAAAAAAAGAAAGAAAGAAAAGAAAAGAAAAGAAATATAAGAAATAATAAAATACTCTTCCACTCTCGGAAGAGGTGTGTAAGAAGTTAATCAGATAACGCACATGAACTGACTCAGAAGGAGGAAGGCACACATGAAGCTCTCAGTAAGGGTTGCTATTATAAAAATACACCCGCTTGTGCAGCCCCATGACTGCTGCATCTGCTCTGCCACTTTCCTGCATGGCTAGCTCCTCAGAGAGATGTCCTTGGGCGTTTCTTAGCTCGGTATTGCCACCTCCTCCAGGGTGGGACCTTGATGAAGGCAGGAACCAGATTATTTATATCTGGAGCCTCAGTGCCCAGAATAGAACCTAACACAAGTGAATGAATGAGTAGTGAAAGCTCCAACACACCAGCCACGCCTTCCTAGCCATTCTTCTTCCCTTTCTTCCAGCCATTCTGCAGGCCTCTCCAGGGAGGTCCTGGGCCTGAGGAGTCAGGAGTGCCCTGGCAGGGCAGGGAAAGAGACAAGAAGTCATTCAGGCCCACATCACCAAATGTTTACCTGCTTCTTTCACCTACACCCCCAATCTTCCAGGCCAGGATAGGAACATATATCACACACACACACACACACACACACACACACACACATTCATCCAGAGGTCAAGATAGGGGCCTGGCCCTAGCCAGAGTTGCTTAGTGGTTAGAGTGCCAGCTCACACACTGTAAGGTCACAGGTTCAATTCCCAGTCAAGGACATGTACCTGGGGTGTAGATTCGATCTCCAGCTCCCGTCTAGGTGCATGATGGAGGCAACCAACCAATGTGTTGATGCGTCTCTCTCATATAGACGTTTATCTTTCTCTCTCCCTCTCATTCCCTTCCACTCTTTCTAAAGGAAAAAAGAAATCAATGAAAAAAAAAAATCCTTGGGTGAGGATTAACAAAACAAAACAAAACAAAAAGATAGGGGCCTGAACATGGCTGCCTAGAGCTGCCCATGCTGCCTGCTCTCCTGAGCTTTTGTTTTTCTGTCTAAAATATGGAGGTTCAACTAGTCCTCCTTCAAAGAATGAAATGGCAAATGAGTTTTCCAAGGAGACAAGGAATTGGTATTCATTCATTCATTCATTCATTCAAGAGGCAGTATCAAAAAGCCACTTGCCTGGTTTTGAATCCCAGCTCTACTGCCTCCCAGCTGTGTGACCTTGAATAAGTTACCTAACCTCTCTGGGCCTCAGTTTCTCATCTATAAAATGGAGTTAATGGAGAGGTTTTGTGAGGATTGCATGAGTTAAAGCAAAAGTGATTACACAACCCTAGGCACTGAGTGATAAATAAGGCATTGTTATTATTATTCATTTAAAAGCATACACATGATAGTTCCAAGGTCTTTTTATGTTTCAAGTTAGCAACATCCCAGGAAGGCAGAGGCTATCGGTGTCCTCATTTGACAGCTGAAGAAGCTGAGCCCAGGGTGTTCAGCAGAGCTGGAGAATGACAATGGGTTGTGGACACCTGAGACATCTAACAAGCAGAAGATAAGGATTCTGGGGACTATTCTGCCCCTGTTAGAGAGAGGCTGGGGTAAGGAAGGAGGAGTGGGGGAGGTTCCCGAGGCTCAGCGGAAGGCGTGCTTCCGGTGCTTCCAAAGCTCCAGGTCACTGAGCATCTGCATGCTCCCAGGCCCCAGACACCACCAAGATCTCCATTGTCACAGCTTGCGGTCCAGGGGAAGAGACAGATGGGTGACCCGGTGCGATTGGTGCTACAATGGGACTCACAAGCAGCTGTGGGAGGCCAGAGGAGGCCTGGGGATAGGGGGGTGGGGAGGGGGAGATCAGAAGAGACTTCCTGGAGGAGGTGATGCTAAAGCTGAGACCCAAAGGATAGACAGGGCAGATGGGGCAGCTAAACCAGCTCAGCACAGGCCAAGAACACAGGCTGAGAGTTTTGAGGGTGAGTTCCACTTATCCCAAATTCCACCAAGCCCCCACACTGCCTACTGCTGCCCCAGATAAACACACCCAGAACCAGCATCAGGGAAATGTAAAACCTACTCCAGCTTATTGTGCTCCCAGATACAGGCTGGAACCTCTTTCTGGCCATGTCTGACAGAACTTCCCGTGATGATGAAAACATTCTGCCTTGACAGTGTCCAACACCGTTCCCATGAGCCACGTATCACTATTGAGCGCTTAAAACGTAATAGCGTGACTGCTATGGGTTGAATGTATGTGTTGAAGTCCTAACCCCCAGGTTAGGACCTCCAAATGCAGCCTTACTTGGGAAATAGGGTCATCGCAGATGTAATGAGGTACGGTGAAGTCATACAGGACAAGGGTGGCCCTAATCCAATATGACTGGTTGTCCTTCTGAAAATGGGGAAATTAGGACACAGACATCCACACAAGGGGAATGCCATGCTACATGAATGCAGAGATGAGGGTGATGCATCAGCAAGCCCAGGAACACCAAAGATTGCCAGCAAACACCAGAATCTAGGAACAGATCCTCCCTCGTGGCCTCAGAACGAACCAGCCCTGCTGGCATCGTGGCCTCAGACTTCAGCCTCCCAAACTGGGGCAGAAGAAATAAACGTTCTGTGGTTTAAGCCCTGTCACGTCTGGTACTTTGATACGGCAGCCCCAGCCGACCAAAACAGCCAACTGAATTTTAAATGTTCCTTTCATTCCAGCTCATGATAACTAGCCGCGCACGGCCAGTGGCTGCTCTGTTGGGCAGAGCGGTAAACGGTTTCCAGTCCCCAGACCCCCATCGTCCAGCGGAAAAACAGACGCAGGGGCTGCCCCGAGAACTCGGTGAGACAGAGACAGGAAGACCCTGGCTGGGTCCCGGGAGGATGGAGAAAGAGAGCAGCCTACCAGCCAAAGGCGGCCAAGTACTGAGGGTGTGCACCTGCGCTGTCTCATAGGCTGCTTAAATGCAAATGGGTTCAAAGGTCAGTTCTTCAGTTTCACTGGCCACTTCCCGAGTGCTCAGCAGCCACGTGGCTTCCTGTCCTGACCAGATGTAGACCCTTTCACCATCGCCAGCCGGGACACACGGATGCAATTCACTGTGGCAAGCACTGAGCAACAAACCTCACGCTGTGAGGTTGTGCTTGCCACCAGCCCATTGTAGGGGACAGGGGGGTGCTGTGAGTGCTGAAGAGAACTCTAGAGAGTAGACAAGGCTCGTCTACGGCCATACCACCCTGAACGCGCCCGATCTCGTCTGATCTCGGAAGCTAAGCAGGGTCGGGCCTGGTTAGTACTTGGATGGGAGAGTAGACAAGGCTCCTGAGGCGAGGAGAACCAGGCCACTGCCCTTTTGCTGCCCCCGGACTGGGGTCCCAAGAGATGCAGAACCTAGAGGTGGAGGAAGAGGCTGCCAGGAAACCAAAATGAGAGATGGGGTAGGAAAGGGGAAGTGAGCGAGAAGGGGCGGGTGTCAACTGTCACTGTCCCCACCCACCCGCCCTGGTAGCCTTGGATTGCTCAAAGACTTTCAGAAGGGTGAGCCGGTTACACACAGGTGTGTTCACACACACCCCGCCCCCCCAACAAGAGGCCTGCCACAGAGGCACAGCACATGCTCATGGGCACAAGCCATTCTGTCCCCGCACCTCTTTCCCCCCCCCTCTCTCTCTCTCTCTCACACACACACACACACACACACACACACACACACACACACAACCACCTGCCTTCACAACCACACCACCACCACCACCACCACCACCACCACCCAAGGCCTTCACAGCACACAAACCCAAGGCCTTTCCTGGCCACTGACATGCCTCCTTGCAGGCTCCTGGCCGCCCCACCGCCCTCATGCCCTCCTCCCTCTGCAAACACATGAATAAGAGGGAGGCACAGACATCTCATACCATCATTGAACTTCCATGTTGTCAGGGCATCATTTCCACAGTCTGCCCCTTGTTGCCTGGGAGCCCCACTGAGACTCCCAGGACGGAGCCCGGGTTTCCCCAGAATCACACAGGAACCAGGGCGTGCATCGCCACCCCGTTTGTCCCCATTCCGGGGCGCCCTCTGTTCCGATGAGCGCGTGCCTCTTTGGCATCAGCAGACGTGGGGACCGTGAGGAGGACCACGGGGCCCTGGGACCCCTGGCTGGCTGCCCTGTTCCGTCCTCTCCCTCCACCTGCCTGGTGCCTCCCTGCATGCTCCCAGGCCCCTGGCCCACCCCTCCTGGGCCTCGCCCAGGGCAGGAGGGGGGCCTGCACCTGGCGGCTGGACCATCTTCCCCGGCCGTGGCTCAGACGCTCCTCACGCTGGAGATGCTAGTCAGGGGCTCCCGCATCCGAAAGCTGAGCGGCCGGGAGCCCCGAAAGCTGTCCCTGGGCCTCAGCGAGCTGTCCGTGGTGGAGGCTCCGGAGTGGGCCTCCACGGCCCGGGCCAGGCAGTCCCCGGGTCCCCGCAGGCCCAGCCGGAGGCACCCGCAGCACAGGAAGCCCAGCACGGCCCGGCACACCTCCCGGCTGCGGAAGGAGTAGATGAGCGGGTTGACCGCCGAGTTCAGCACTGCCAGCGCCAGGATCCAGTCCATGCCCCGCAGGTACTCCTGCGCCCAGAGGTTGGAGCCGAAGATGTCGGCCAGCAGCAGGCCGAAGAGGGGGCCCCAGCAGACCACGAAGGCCACCAGGATCATGAGCACCGTGTTGAGCAGCCGGCGGGCCTTGCGGCGGCAGGGGGGGCGCAAGGCCTTCTGCCCGTTGGCCCGCACCACCCGGAAGATGGCCCCGTAGAGCACCATGATGGTGGCCAGGATGCAGGCGAAGATGACCACGCAGAAGAGGATGTAGGCCTTGGAGTAGAGCGGGAGCAGGCTGGAGCAGCTGGGGAAGGAGCACACGCAGTTCCAGCCCAGCAGGGGCAGCAGGCCCAGCAGCGCGGCCAGCAGCCAGCACAGCCCGATGAAGCCCAGCACGCGGCCCCGCTTGGTGTCGCCGCTCTCGGCCACCGGCCGCACCATGGTGGCGAAGCGCTCGCCGGCGGTGAACAGCAGGCTGAAGGTGGACGCGGCCAGCGCCATGAAGAGCACGCCCTCACGCAGGAACCAGTGGGCCGGCGCCAGGTGGAAGGTGCGGGCCCCGGACAGCAGGACGTTGACCAGGTAGGCCAGGCCGGTGAGCAGGTCGCTCAGGGTGATGTTGACCAGGCAGTAGTAGACCCAGCGCCGGGACCGCATGCGGGTCACAATGGCCATCAGCACCAGCAGGTTCTCCAGCACCACCAGGCAGCTCATGGCCACGAAGAGCCCCCGCAGCACGCCCAGGCCCCCGTCCTCCGGCGAGGCCCGCCCCGTCAGCCGGCCCGAGTGGTTGTAGTGCAGGATGATGAGCTGGCTGTGCCCGCCGGCCGCCAGCTGCCAGCAGGCGTCGGGAGCCTTCGCCGGGGACCCCGTAGCGTTCATCGTGGTCCCCCGGGGCAGACTGAGGCCCGGGGTGGCTGGGCCCGGGGCAGGGTGGAGCTGCTGCCTTGCCCGGTCTTGGTTTCCTGTTATTTGAAATTTCCTGTTATGTTCGAGGTACCCCCAGGGTGGGGGTGAGGCCTGGGAGGGGAGGAGCATCTCAACCGTCCGCTCCCACCCCGGGTCCTTGGAGGGCGCTGCAGCTGCTCCTGCTCCAGACCCCTCCTTCGTCCCCTTCTGTTCCTCGAAAGCCCAGGGAGGAGGGGCCCCAGCGGGAGGGAAAACGCACCCCCCAAAAGCGCTTGCCACCCTTCCCAGCTAGGGGGGGTCCCTCCAGGACCCAGCTATTCCTTCACTGTCTTCCCAACGGCTTCACCTGTGCCTGGCACACAGTAGGTGCTTAATAAGTGTGTGCCAAGTGACTGCGCACTCGCAGGAGCACGAGCACCGCTGGCCCCTTCGCTGAAGGTGCGGATGCCCCCCACGTTATCCCCACGACAGACCTGTGGCTCACCCACCCCAGGAGAGGGCACAGAGGCCGAGGACGTGGCACTGCTATCGAGGGCCACCCAGTGGGAAGGGACCACCTACAAACACACAGGATTCTCCAGGGCCAGCACCCAGCGTGGCAGAGTTTTTAGTTGCCCTTTTGTTGTCTCTCCTGTCCCCTGAGCTGGCCCTACGAGGAGCAGAGCTAGGGATCTTCACCCAGGACAGCCCCTCACTTTGGGGGAGAGGGGCTCACGGGAAATATGGGGGCTCACCCCATCCCCATTCCCACCCATGTCCACCTGACCCGGCTCAGGCTGACCCAGTCGGAGATGGCTGAGGACTGAGGTGTGAGCACCGAGTGGGGGTGAGAAGTTGGGGGCCCTGAAGAGGCGAGGTGCAGTCTTGCCCTGGGTCTCCAGGGGGAGGCAGGCTCCCCTGCCAGGCCCACAGGCGTGCCCACAGAGGTGGGTGGGCAGGAGCTCGGGGAGGGCGCCCAGGGGACCGTGGCTCCTGCCCGGCACCTCTCCCCTGGCTCACGGCTCAGCTGTGGGAGCGGAGCCATTACAGGGAAGCTCAGCTCAAGGTGTTGCCTGAGGTGACCAAGCAGTAACGGATCTGAAAGGGAGGTTTGGGGAAGAGGGGCCGCGCAGGAAGCTGGGTAGCAGCTGTGGTTTGAGGCTTGGGCGGGGTGGGAAAGGCAACCGAGTCTTTCCCAGGAACCGCCCAGGGCAGCAGGACAGCCGGCCCTCGGTGCTGGCCTCCCGGGGGACCTCCTGCCTCGTACACATTAACAGAGACACACACTGTGTGTTCCGAGACTCAGCCTGCTCCCGGGAGTGAATCCTCAACCCAGGCTGGACCTGGGATGGAGCTCGCATCCCAGGCTGAGCCCTGGTCCCAGGTTCAGCTCCGATTCTCGACTGAACTTTGAGCTCAGGCTGACCCCTGACCTTGGATGAGCCTTCAGCTGATTCTGATCTTCACTCATGACCCTGAGTGAGACCCAGCCCTGGGCTGAGCCCTGATCCCAAGATAAGCCCCAATTCTAGCGGAGCCCCAGCCTCCACTAAACCCCAATCCCCGCTGGGCCCCTGATCCCTGGCCCAGAGAGCAGATCCAGGACTGGAGCACAAGGCCATGACCGAGCAGTGTGACTAGCACGGCCGAGCTGTCCAACCACGGCCTCTCCCGTGAATCACTTGCTGCCTGGGAGAAAGGCCACACACCCACACATCATCATACCTGATCTAATCTTACGATAGATGTCTGTGCTGTGAGCACAAGCCCCCTCTAGAATCTGCCCTGAAGCCACAGCTCTAACAACATGCAAGTTAACACAGAGACGGTTATTGTTGTTTGTAAATGAAAAATATTAGCACCCCACATGCCTTTGCACAGCAGACAGGCTGGTAAATTAAGCTGCCCCCGCAGTGGAGCAGCCGACAGATGTAAAAGAGAACAAGGACAGCCTCTGTGAGTGAACAGAGCGGTTTCCAGGCCGTCTTGTCAAGTTGGGGGAAAAGCACAGAAGACTTAGGTCACTTGGTACGTGTGTGCAAAACAAACACAGGAGAGAAACCAATGAGGCTGGTAGGGGGATCGAAACTGAAAAAAGGGAATGATACCCTCTGAGTACCCCTCTTTACATAGTTGTTTTTAAAAAACTATATATAGTTTAGAGAGGAAGGGAGAGGGAGAGAAAGATAGAAACATCAATGATGAGAGAGGATCATTGATCGGCTGCCTCGCCAGTGTGGGGATCGAGCCTGCAACCTGAGCATGTGCCCTGACTGGGAATCGAACCGTGACCTCCTGCTTTATAAGTCAACGCTCTATCACTGAGCCACGCCAGCTGGGCTTTACATAGTTTTTAAACTCAGTAAATGCTTGCTTTAGTCAACAAGGATGGAGAAAAAGAGCTTGAAGATGGGATAAAATGGAAAAAGAAATGATCATGATTGCATTTAAAATGAAAAGCAAAATCACTCACAAATGCAAAGGAACCTGCCCGTGCAACCTTAGACACGGTACTTGCTCTAAAGACAAAAGAAACTGAAAGGGATTTGAACTTGTTTGGGAGATCTGCTTTCGGGGATGGTATGGGGGTAGTGATTCTAAAACCATCACGTGTGCCATGGGGCTGAGCACAGAAGCAAGTATTGATATTAAGAGCCAGGTCTTCACTGGGGGAGAAGAGGTGGCAATGGCATAGGGGAATGCAGAGGAACCCCAAGAGCAGGACTGAAAGTGTCAGCGTGGCCCTCGCTGGTTTGGCTCAGTGGATAGAGCATTGACCTGTGAACCATTACAGGGCTGGACTTGTGATTTAAACAGAAATCTGTTTCCTGACTCTGTCCACTGGAACTATTCCATAGCAATGAGAGCATCAAACACCCCGATCTTGGCTTCTGACTATCATCCCCTTTAAAAAAATGAAATAAAAAAGGTAGTGAGGCAGGGAGAGCACAGGCTGAGCCTGGAACCTGTTGGTGTGTCGGAAAGTAAGAAAGTGCTCTGAGAAAGTCGCGGACCTGTCACAGAGAGGCAGGAGCCAGACAACCTGGAGCAACCTGGAGCACCGGCAATGAGTGACCTTAAAGTCAGAGAGAAAGGAAGCAACCTGGAGCACCAGCAATGAGTGACCTTAAAGTCAGAGAGAAAGGAACGGCCCCTCCTTCTCCCAGGGCCTAGGGGAGAAGGAGGGGCCGTTAGTGCTTCATGGGAACACTTTCAGTTTTACAAGATGAAAAGTTCTGGTGATGGGTGGTGGAGATGGTTACATAACCATGTGAATGGCCCTAGTCGGCTTGGCTCAGCGGACAGAGCATCGGCCTGCAGACTGAAGGGTCCCGGGATCGATTCTGGTCAAGGGCACATGTCTGGGTTTCAGGCTTCATCCCCAGTAGTGGGTGTGCAGGAGGCAGCTGATCAGTGATACTCTCTCATCATTGATATTTCTATCTCTGTCTCCCTCTTAGGTCCTCTCTGACGTTAATAATAATAATAAGAAGAAGATGTGAATGAACTTAATGCCACTGAACAGTACATTTAAAATGGTTAAAATGGTCAATTTAATGCTATACGTATTTTACCACAATAAAAAAATTAGAAGAAAAAATATTTCCATATAATCCAACATTCCACTCTTAGGTAGCTACCCAACAGCAGTTAGAAAAATCACTTTTTCTGTAATCGTCATAGCATTAATTGGCCCAGGCAATAATCAACAATAAATGCTAAAATTATTGGATGGAGCCCTGGCCAGTTTGGCTCAGTGGATAAAGCATCGGCCAACAGTCTGAAGGGTCCCGAGTTCAATTCTGGTCAAGGGTACTATATGCCCAAGTTGCAGCTCGATCCTCAGTAGGGGGAGTGCAAGAGGCAGCCTATCAATGATCCTCTCTTATCATTGTTGTTTCTATCTCTTGCTCCCTCTCCCTTCCTCTCGGAAATCAATAAAAATATTTAAAAATTACTGAGTGGGCCGAAACCGGTTTGGCTCAGTGGTAGAGCGTCGGTCTGCGGACTGAAGGGTCCCGGGTTCGATTCCGGTCAAGGGCATGTACCTTGGTTGCGGGCACATCCCCAGTAGGGGGTGTGCAAGAGGCAACTGGTCGATGTTTCTCTCTCATCGACGTTTCTAGCTCTCTATCTCTCTCCCTTCCTCTCTGTAAAAAAATCAATAAAAAAAATATATTAAAAAAAATTACTGAGTGGAATTTTGTTGGGGAACAGGATATCGACATACTCTCAACGTATTTTCCTACAGAATACATATTAATGACAGAGAGAAAAATATCTTACTCAAGAAACCCTTGAATGTCCCCTTGAGACAGGCCAGCAGGCCAGGACCAGTGGACTAGGAAACAGAGACAGACAGCAAACAAACTGGCCGAGCAATTTACAGCAGATCCAGAGGGTCACCTCCTGAGAGAGAACATCTAGGCCTCAATTGTAGTTCAGCGCCAGGTACCGACAAGCAGTCAAACCCGGTGGGTGACACCAGGGACCAGCTGCAATGACCAGTGACCCCCTGCCCTGGCACTGACCAACCAGTGGAGACCACGACCCTGAAGGAGCACACTAGAAAACTGATGAATATTTTCCTAAAACTCTGCCCTGAGGACCACCCCTTCCCCCCTTATATTCCTGCCTGTAGGAGAGAGATAAAATCCTCAAGACAACCGACCCAGCGCACGCTCTCCCTCTCAGGAGCACCCCTCCCCCCGCCATTCCCGTTCCTCTTCTCCCCCCCTTCTTCTCCCACAGGCCTGCATCTCCTAAATTCCAAAGGACCCCAGGAGCAGTGGACAGCGGTACCTTGTGCCAGGCTAACCCCTGAACCTGTTCCCATTTTTCCTGCACGAGTCAAGAACCCACACATTATCAGCCGGCCCTAGGCACGCCCGCCAAGGGCCAGGCCCCTTTGGGTAGTTGCCTTCACCAAGAGACCAAGTCAGCGTCACTGGAAATGCAGTAAATGGTCTCACACACTGAGGAGGCAACAGCGCTTCTTCCATGATATTCCCACCAAGCTACCCAACCTGCATCAGGTCATGGGAGGCACCAAACAAGCCCACGCCGAGGATGGCCCACAGAACAATCGGTCTATAGTTCTTAAGAGTCAAGGTCATGAAAGTTCACGAAAGACAAAAGGCTAAGGCTGTCTTGGATGAAAGGAGACCCAAGATGCATGAAACTAAATGCAGTGAGCGGTTCCCGACTGGGTGTTAGAATGAGGGGAAGTGCTATAAAAGACAATATTGGGGGATTTTCTTATGAGCTGTTTATTAGAGGATATTATTGTATCAATGCCAGCTGGCATGGCTCACTGGCTGAGTGCTGATCTATGAACCAGGAGGTCAGGGTTTGACTCCCAGTCAGATCATATACCTGGGGTTGTGGGCTTGCAGGAGGCAGCTAATCAATGATTCTCTCCCATCATTGATGTTTCTATCTCTCTCTCTCTTCCTTTCGCTGAAAGCAATAAAAATATATTTAAAATATATATTATTGTATCAATGCTAGATTTCCTGAATTTGACTATTGCACTCTGCTTATATAACAGATTTTTTTTTCCATAGGAAATACATGGTGTTCTGGAGTAAAGATGCATCATAGTTCCAACTTACTCTCAAATTATTTAGAAAATTAAGGAAAAAATGTCCATATTCTCCGTGGATTATATAATACGCTTTTAGATTTTGTTTATAGAGAAATATAAAGCAAAAGGTTAACCATGGGCAGACCTAGCTCAGGGGTCAGCAATTTTTTTTCTGAGAAGAGCCAGAGAAAATAATTTCAGCTTTGAGGGCCAGACAGAATCTGTCAAAACTCTGGCCCCCAAAGGAAAAGCTGCCATATGTAAATGGGTGTGGCTGTGTGCCAATAAAGCTTTATTTACAAAAACAGCAGAAAGCTGATGGTTTCCTGAACCCTCACCTAGACTTCATTGCAATCGTTTTGCAACTTCTGTAGGTTGAAAGTATTTTCAAAATAAAAAGATAAGTGAAGAAAATATGGATTTCCTAACTTTGTGGTCAGAGTGTCGTCTCTAAATATCTCCTGTTAAAAGGAATCAGGGCTCCTTGGAGAAATGGCCAAATGCAGGAAAGTATAGGATAAGACAAAAGCATCTCGCTGTGCCAGAGCTATGACCTCTTAAGACCACAGGGGTCATGTCAACAGGACTGAGGAGCCAACTCAAAGAGGTCCCACTGGCCACAGGCCAAGGAGAGGCAGGAAGGATCCTGCCCAAGAGCCCGCAGAGGGGGCGGGGCCCTGCTGCCGCCTGGACCTCACACTTCTGCCCTCCAAAATCGGGAGCATACATTTCTGTTGTTTTAAGCCACTGATCGGCAAACTCATTAGTCACCAGAGCCAAATATCAACAGCACAACGATTGCAATTTCTTCCGAGAGCCAAAACTTTAAAAACTTAAACTTCTTCTAACGCCACTTCTTCAAATTAGACTCGCCCAGGCCGTGGTATTTTGTGGAAGAGCCACACTCAAGGGGCCAAAGAGCCTCCTGTGGCTCGCGAGCCGCAGTCTGCCGACCACGGTTTTAAGCCACCCAATCTGTGGCACTTTGCTACAGCAATCCTGAGGGAAAATATCTGCCCAGCACTCCTCAAAACTGCCAAGGTCGTCAAAACCAGAAGTCAGAGAAACCATCACAGCCAAAAAGAGTGGTCAGGGACCACTAAGAGCCATGTGGGGTCCTGGGAGTGAAGAAGGATAGTAGGGGGAAACTGAGGAAATCTGAATAGAGTATACATTTTAGTTAATAATTGTCAGTATTGGTTTATTGGTTGTAAAAAAAAAAAAGATATCATATTAATGTAAGATGCTAACAGTAGGGGTCTTTGGATGCAGTTTTATAAGGCGACTCTCTGTACGACCCTCACAATTTTTCTGTAAACCTAAGACTATTCTAAAACATAAGGGTTTTTTAAGTTAAAAAGAAAAGGGGGGGGGGGGTGAGGGGAGGTATTGAATGAATAGAATCTTGGCTGTGTGACCTCCCAAGTGTATGACTTCAGTCAAATGATTCAGTTTCTTGGAGCCTCAGTTTTCTCACCTGTAAAATGGGAGTGACAGGGCTTGTGCCACAGGGACATCCCTGAGGACGGCGGGCCGCCATGGTCGAGCCTAAGTAGAGCCGTTATCTTCATCTTCATCAGAGGTGGGCAGGAGCTGCTGCTAGAATTTTGGGCAAATAGCAACATAGGGCGGGCTTCACTGTGCCCCTCTCCAGGAGGAGAAGTTGGACCCCACCTCTTGGCTCCAAGTGCGCCCTCTCCTGGACAGCTGTCTATACCGAGCCCAGCACAGGGGACCAAACAAGTACGACCGTTTTCCTTCCCTCTCCATGTTTCTGCCCTACGTGGGGCAGGAGACCTGAGGAGGGACTGGGGGGGGGGGGGGGCGGGAGAGAGAAGCAGGGCACCCCTGAGAAACCACAGGTCTCCGGAATGTCATTTCTTTAATGTCCAGCCCACAAGGGGCCCTGCAGAGGAGGGAATAAATACAGCTTCGAAGATGCAGCGCACCCAGCCCCCAGCCTAGGAAAGAGGGGGAGACCTGCGAGCCCCCGTTTCTCTCGTCTGCAAACCGTAACGGAACACGCTTTGAGCCCTGAGGCTCTTAACACCGTTTTCCGGGGGTCTCTTCCCCCACAAAGGCAGGCCTCTGAGCCACCCAAACCTCCAACCGGGAGATGCCGCCTCCTGTCCACTAAGGGGCGCCAGAGTCCGCTCCTGGGCCTGGAGGCCCACTGCCGATCCCTGAGGGGGTGCATCCCCTCCGCCCGCCCCCGGGGTTCCGGGCTTGTGTCCCGGAGGGGGCAGACCCGGAGCGGCGGTCCTGAGCCTCCGTCCTCCGCTCTCTCCATCTTCCCCTCCCCCGGGACCCCAGGTGGCCGCTGTGCCCCCTCGCCGAGGCGTCAGAGGGGGGACCCAGCAGCTGTCCGAGCAGCTGGGGCGGCGGCGGCCGGCTTTCCGCACGACCAGGGGCTCCGGGCCGTCGGCGCGCTTCCGCCCGCAGGTCCCGGGCCGCGCGCAGGTCCGAGCCCCCGGCGGGCCGGCGTCACAGCAGGTTGATCTCGTCCAGGTAGCGGGCCAGCACGGAGTCCCGCACGTCCTTGAAGACCTTGCGGATGTTCTGCGTGTCCGTGGCGCACGTGTAGTGGCTGAAGAGGCGGCGGGAGCGCGAGCCCTTCCGGCCGCCGTCGGCGCTGTCCGCGCAGCCCGCGTACATGCGGCTGTACATGTCCAGGATGAACCGCTGCGCCGCCTCCGCGTCCTGCTTCGGGCCTGGGGGGCGGGAGGAGGGAGGGTCAGGACTCCGGCTCCTGGGGCAGGCGGGGACCCCCTCCTGACACCAGGGGGGGACTCTGGGATCCCTCTTCCCGATCGGGGCAACTTAGGGCTGCAGGGGCCCCAGCGCGCACCCACGACGGTCCCAGCGGGTGGGCGCCCTCTTTAGACTGTCTAGCAGGCCACGTGACCCCAGCCCAGCCATGGGCCACATGGGCTTGGTGGGGTCACAGCACCTGGGACTCGGGTGGGGATTTGTGATGAAGGGGTGCTCTTGGCTGGGCTTGGAGCTGGAGGGATGGGAGCCGGAGCTGCAGAGAACAGAGGCTGGTGCACCCGGGGAAACCGAGGCCAGGAGAAGAGGAGGGATGGCCACCCCGGTGAGGCGCATGGGCGGCTGCATTGAAAGCACAACGTGAGTTAAGGGCCCACAGCCTGGCTCTGCGACTTACTGGTTTGGGTACGAGTTAGCAGAGGTAACCTTGGTGAGCCTCAGTTTCCTGGCTTGTAAAATTGGGAAGAGGACTAGCCGCAGGCCTCCCGGAGTGGTGAGGATGCAAAGCAATCATGCCCGGGCCCCCCGTGCTCAATGATCAGAAAGTTTCCAGGGTGTGCGCTGTCATTCTTTCAGAAAGGCGGGTAAAACCTGCCATCTCCGAATCCAGACAGCTGCATTAGAATCTTGCCTCTGTCACTCACTGGTTGTGTGACTTCCGGCAAGCAACTGTGCCTCCGTTTCCCCAGGAAGGAGTCCTACGGCACAGGAGTTTTTTAAGAATATTTTTTATTGATGTCAGAGAGGAAGGGAGTGGGAGAGATAGAAACACCAATGATGAAAAAGAATCATTGATCGGCTGTCTCCTGCACGGCCCCCTCCCCCCCTACTGGGGATCAAGCCCGCAAACTCAGGGCCTGTGCCCTTGACCGGAATGGAATCTGGGACCCTTCAGTCTGCAGGCTGATGCTCTACCCACTGAGCCAAACCAGCTAGGGCCGCACAGGGCTTTTTAATGAGGATTAAACAAGTCAATAATACATAAGAGTGCTTCCACCAGTGTCAGATGTGTTCATTGTTATTGTTCATTATTGTCACGAGTATTTAGTAGCAGGAAAGAAGGGCCAAGAGCCGTAAGCTGAGTATAATGGTGCTGTAGCCTCTTTGGCTGGGAGAAAAGGATGAGTTGTGGAGTTTCCCTCTGACCTGAGGGAAAGCAAACAATCCTCAAAACTGTCTACGTCTCAAACCCTCCACGTGCTGCTCAGCTGGGAAGGCTGATGGGGGTGCCCAGGCCACTGCCCGGGTTGACCTCTGCTGCCCAGTCTCTGAGTCTTGTGGGGATGACTGGCTGAGGTTGGCCACAGGGGCTCTGACAAGGCCAGGGGGTCCCTCCCATAGTGATGTCACCAAAGCTTAGTACCCGCAAACTGAGGGCTTCATCGGCCATCAACACACGGCTGATGTGTGTTGGTGTGAACAGTGTCCCCTCAAATCCACGTCCACTGTGAACTTCAGAATGTGATTGGATTTGGAAAGAGGGTCTTTGCAGCTGTCAAGAGTTTAAGTTGAAATGAGGTCATACTGAATGAGGTTGGACCCTAAATTCAATGACTTGTGTTCTTATGAAAAGAGGAGAGAGCTGGTTTAGCTCAGTGGGTAGAACTTCAGCCTGCAGACCCCCTACTGAGGGTCCTGGGTTTGATTCTGGTCAAGGGCACATACCTTCGCTGCAGGCTGCTCCCTGGCCCAGGCCGTGGTCAGGGCTTGTGCAGGCGACAACCTATCTATGTATTTCACATCGATGTTTCTCTCTGTCTCTCCCTCCCTCTTCCACGCCCCATAAAAATCAATGGAAAAACGTCCTCGGGGGAGGATTAAGAAAAAAAAGAGGAGAGACAACCAGAGACAGAGAAGGCGGTGTGCCGATGGAGGGAGAGATTGGAATGATGCATTATAAGTCACGAAATGCTAAGACTGCAGGCCAGAACCTAGGAGAGAGGCCCAGAACGGGTCCTCCCTCAGGAGCTGACCCTGCTCTGCCTCTCACTCGGCTCAGACGTCCCGCTTCCTGGCATGTGCGGGAAGCACGTCTGTTGTTTCCAGTCCCCGGCGGGTGGCCAGCTGCCACAGCAGCCCAAGGAGACAAAGACAGCTGTCCCCAGGGTGGCTGTCACTGCCTCCTCCCCTCCCCGCAGTCACATGCCTTTGGCCGCCATGACGCAGGCTGCGCCCCCCTCTGAGGCCGGGCTGACCTGGGGGACTTTATTGATCGACAGAACAAGCGGATGTGACCACCTGGGCCTGCTTAGGCTACGTCATGGGCAGAGGCTTCCACCTGGGCTGACGTCTGGCCATCCCGAGGCAGCCGTGCTGCGAGCTAGCCCTGGATTGGAAGACACCAGATAGGGGGAGGGAGAGGGAGAGAAAGGGATGGAGAGGTAGAGAGGGAGAGCAGAGAGAGAGGAAAAGGAGGACGAGGAGGAGGAGGAGATAGGGGAGGGGGGAAAAGGAGGAAGGAGGAGGTGGAGGATCACAGAGTCGTCATACACAAGGTGCGAGAAGCCGTCTCAGAAGTACATCTCCAATCCTGGCCATCCCAGCTGAGGCCACATGGACCACAGGTGGACAACCACCCCAACCTTCCCCAAATTCCTGACCCCCTTGATGGTGAGCTAAGTGAAATGGCTGGATTAAGCCCCTGACTTTGGGGGGCATTTGCTACTCAGCGGGGATCCTTCTAGCAGCTCCCTTTCCCCTCATAGTGGCCCAGTATCTAGCCAACACACCCCTTCCCTGGTTTCTCCAAAACCTGCCGTCCCTGGCAGATACCCTACATGGCGCCCAGCGCGTACTGCACCCCCATCTAGTTGGCCGGGGCCCTCTGTGCCTCGGGTTGCACCAAACGTGCTGTGTTCCTCCTGCTTGATAGACACTTAATGAGACACCACACAGACCCATGAGCCATCAGCACAGCCTGCACAAGGGCTTCTGTATCCATGAAAACTGAGCTGCTGTAGGCTTTGGAAAAACTCGCTCCAAGGTCAGTCACAGATTTAAAAACAAAAATGCTATCCCATTAGGTATAGATGAGACGACTATGAAAGTTAGAAAAAGAAAGTCGGACATCTAAGAAGATTCTGGAAATGGTCGTTGGTGCCCTTTGGGCATGACAATGAACTCCATCCAGCAGACCCTCCCTCACAACATCTATATGACGTTTGAGAGTTCTCTTCTTGAAGCGGTTACCAGTACATCGAGCGTGAAGGCATCTGTTATTTTATCCCCATTCTACAGATGGGAAGACTGAGGACAGAGAAAGGGTGGGCAGTGAAAGCATCTGGGTCTGGAAACTCCACTAACTCCAGGCTGAAGTAGGGCCTGGGCGAGCATCTTGCTTGGAAGATGCTTTTTTTAAAATTATTTTTATTTTTATTTTTATGGGCAGAGGGAGGTATGGTATAGATACAGAAGGTTCTAGAACTCACCCTGGAAACTGGGGAAGTAGGTGGCCAGGTGGGAGGTGGGGATCTTCTCCTCCAGGATGTCGGTTTTGTTGAGGAAGAGGATGACAGACGTGCTTTTGAACCAGGGCAGCTCCAGGATGGTGCCAAACAGGGCCAGACTCTCCTTCATTCTGTTCTGGGTTGGGGTAACAGGCAGCACATCCCTCAGATCAGCCAGCCCGGCCTAACAGGAGCCCACCCTCCGCATGGCGATGAGTCTGAGCAGGTGGGGCTGGCTGCCTGTGTGTGCCCAGCATGGTTTTGGGCCTCAACTGGTTTGACTGGTGCCTTCCCCTCCTCTACACCTCCCCCCCACCCCCCAATTCACGTCCACCTGGAACTTCAGCCCGTGGCCTTGTTTGGAAGCCGGGTCTGAGATTCACTAGGAGGTCACACTGGAACTGGGCGGCTTTAAGCCTGATGCTGGATGTCCCCGAGAGAGGGGAGCTTGGACACAGCCTCACGTCCCAGGAGGACGCTATGTGAAGACGGAGCAGCGGTGGGCTGATGCGTCTACAAGCCAAGGAACGCCAGAGACTGCCGGGGTCACCGCGGCTGGGGCGGCCCCGTGAGCTCAGCCTGCTGCCTCCGGAACCGGAGAGAGTCCTCTCTGTCGTCTCAGCCTCCCGGTTTGTGGGCCGCCCGAGCTGACGAGGGCAGGCCACGTGGCGAGAGCTACGTCGGAAGGACCTCAGCCTCCTGTCCGATTCAGTCCGACCGTCAGAATTGCAGCATCTCCCTCTCCAGCGCCCAGAGGCCTCGGTGACACGTGAGCCACTGGAAGCGTGCGTGTCAGAGGTGAGTGTGCCCGCCCATTATGCTGATGTTAATGGGGAGAAGACTGATCCTCACCAGCATTTCTGAATAGAAGTGTGACCCTGTCCCTGCGGTGTGACCACAGTTCCAGGACAGTCTGTGTTGTGCTTCCCGGGGCCACCGTCTCAGGACATGCAGGACATGAATATCCGTGTGTGTGTGTGTGTGCGTGTGCACATGTGTACGTATGTATGCGTGCATGCACGAGCATGCACACGTGTGTGTGTGTGTGTGTGTGTGTAGCACATGCACACATGCTACGTGTGAGTGTTGTTGGCAACACGAGTGCTTGTGAATCTGTCTTGGGGCTCAACGGTCTGATCACCAAAGAGTGGAGGGCGAGGCTCAAAGCCACACCAGGCACACACAGGCCGCTCGAGAGTGGCGTGGGGCCTCCTGCCCGGCTGTGGCCCCTGGGCAGGGGGAGGAGAGGAGCAGAGAAGGTGACGCCCCCGCATCCCCAGGGGCCCCTCACCTCCTGGTTGTTCTCCTCCAGGCACTGGTCGTATTCGCTCAGCGAGGCCAGGTAGATGAGGGCGATCACGTTCTCAAAGCAGTGGATCCACTTCTTGCGTTCCGACCTCTGGCCGCCCACGTCAACAATCCTGCCAGAATCGCCCCCTTTCAGAGCTCAGGCTTAACCAGGACCCCACGACGCGGCACCCCCTATCCCAGTCGCGCCGAGATCAAGACAACGAGCAGCAAGAATAGGGCCTCTCCCCCGAGCCCACACCTCTTGTGTGTTATTGCATTTCAACCCCCCGCCATTACACCCATTATACAGACGAGGAAACTGAGGTACAGAGAGGAGAGGGGACTTTCCTGAACTTCTATTGTACTGGGTTGTTTGATTACTACCTTCATGGGGGAGGCCAGCAGGTCAGACACATCCAGAGTCTGCCCTGGTTCTGGCTGATTGGCCTACTGCAGACCGTCTGCACCTCCCCCGTGTTACCATCAGTGAGCGGGGATGTGGCAGCGTTGTGGCTGACCAGGGCCCTGCCCAGTGGCCTCCCCTCTGCGTGTGGCCTGAGGCGAGGGCCGGGCCTCCACCCCCATGCTCCGCCTTCCTGTCTCTCTTCTAAGAAATGTGGGTCACTGATAACAGCCTGCGTCATTTCCCCGGGGATGGGATGCGGGCCGTTACTCAGGCAGCCGACAGGAAACGCCAGAAGCCTCAGAGCAAGCAGGGACTTGCCCCGCTGCACAGGAGGGGAAAGAGGCAGAGCCTGTGGCTCCGAGCCTCAGAGACCACTCCCTCTCACACATCAGACCCCGCAGGTCCCCATGTCCAGAGTGGGATGTGGGTGTGGCGATTGAGAGTGGGGCTCTTTTGGACTGAGTCAGGTGGGGGACACTTCTTACCATCCTCCCATCCCATCCTCTGCGCCCTCACTCCGCTATTAACCTCTCCTTAGCCTAAGAACATTCTCAAGTCTCCCACCAAACAATCCCCTCCCAGCCCCGCCTTCCCTGTGAGCATCCCCAACTGCTGCCTTCACTCCTAAACTTTACCCATCCATCCACCCATCTATACATCTCTCCACCCACCCACCTATCCAACCTCTACTACATATCCATCCATTCACTGATCTATTCATTTATCTGCCCATCTACTCACCCATCTATCCATCCATCCATCCACACATCCACATATCATCCACCCATCCATCCATCCACACATCCATCATCCATCCATCCATCCACATATCCATCCACACATCCATCCACACATCCATCCATCCATCATCCATCCATCCATCCACATAACCATCCACACATCCATCCATCCATCCATCCATCCATCCATCCATCCACATATCCATCTACACATCCATCCATCCATCCATCCATCCATCCCTCCATCTGCACATTCATCCTTCCATCTTTCTAGCCATCCTCCCACATTTACCACCTTCCACTCTGATCTGGATCTGATCATCACTCTGAAGCAGGAGACTGAAACTTAGCCCCTAACGGTGTGGACTCTCCGTCTAGTGGGTGAGACCTCTGGCGAACAGCTAAATTACGAACCTTCCCGGAAAGGACTATCGCAGAGGCCAGAACAGCATGTTTGGGGTGGGGGAGGGTGGTCCAGGGAAGTGAGCCCATCGGTCGTCAGCCCACAGACACTGAGTTTGCTAAGGTCCCTGGTGACGCTCTAACGGCCCATCACAGAAGCCACTTCTCCTGACTCCCCTGGCCTGTGACACCAGCCATCACCCTCCCGACGCCATGTTGCTCCATCCACACCTTGTCTTCCAAGTCAGGCCTGTGGGAGCCCAGTCACCGCCCAGATACCCTGGACCCCTCAGACTCTGTGCCCCAAGGACTTTATCGTCTTATCGAATACCCCCACCCTGCTGCTGCCACATGGCTCCGCCTCCGACCCTGCCACCTGGATGGGAAGACTCCCTGCTCCAAGTCCCACACTCATCCAGTCCTGCCCCTCCTACGACAGGAACATTTCTTGCACCATCCCCTCATTTCCATCCCCATGGCCACTGCCCTGGCCATGACTAACCCTCCCTGCCTGGACCACAGCTCCTGCCTCCTCCTGACTCTCTGGACGTCTAGTCTCACCCCCTTACTGACCACTTAGAGGAACCAGCCTCTGAGCTTCCCAGTCCACATCCATCCCTCCGATAGCTCTGACCACACAGTCTCTGTGTTCTCCTGCACAACAGCCCTTCAAGGGTTGGAACTGGCGAACTCCTACTCATCCTTCAATGCCCTAACACCAGTGTCCCCTCCTCCAGGAAGATTTCCCCTCTTGGAGCTCTGGTGCCTCCCTCCGGGCTCTTCCAGGTCCTGGTCCTGCTGTAGGAGGTGGGGGTGGGGGGAATCTAGAGGTATCTATGTCCAATTCTGCTTCCTTCAACCTGGAAGCCCTACTCCTCCCCCAAGGCCCCAGCTGCTTTGCCCTCCTCCGGGAAGCACGCCCCGCCCAGCACTCACCGCAGGTTGGTTTTCTGCACGGAGAAGCAGTACTCGTTGATGCCGGTGGTGGGCATGCGGCTGCGCAGCACGTCCTGGGCGGTGGGGATGTAGCCCTCCTCCGTGATGCGCTCCAGGTGCGACAGGTAGCTGGGGAGCACGGAGCCCTGAGCCTGGCCCTGCCAGGCTTCCGTGGCGTCTCAGACCCACCCCCCAGCGCCCAGGGAGGACCCGGCTAGGGGAGAGCCTCCAAGAAGGGCCAGGAGCTCCGGGGTCTGCAGGCGGCCCAGGAGCACCAGCCAGAGGCCCTGGGAGCCCTGGGGAAGCCGCGTCACCCCGAGGATGATGTGACCTCAGGAACAGCAGCACCGCCCTAACCGGTGTGGCTCAGTGGATGGAGCGCCGACCTGCGGGTTCGATTCCGGTCAAGGGCATGTACCTTGGCTGTGGGCACATCCCCAGTAGGGAGTGTGCAGGAGGCAGCTGGTCAATGTCTCATCGATGTTTCTTACTCTCTATCCCTCTCCCTTCCTCTCTGTAAAAAACCAATGAGATATATTAAAAAAAAGAATAGCTGCACTGCAGAGGGGTGTCACCTTGGGGCTGTCACCAGGAGTGGCCTGGTCCCCGAAACAGCGATGGCCTTGGAGCAGACCACCCCGGGCACCCAGCACCGTGCCAGGACATGTCACCTCGTGATAACGAGCAGTGCCACCCGGAAACGGCGTCACCTGGGGCAGATTCTCCCTAGGAGCTGTGTCACCCCACAAATGACATCACCCCCCCAAAACAGGGTCACTCCAGGGACAATGTCACCCCAGGAACAATGTCAACCATCCCAGGGCCAGCTGATGCCCAACAGCCAGTCCCCAGGCGGGGAGTCGGCCACGGGGACCCTCTCTGCACAGGTGCAACCCTGGCCGGGGTCTCTGCTGGCTGCATCTCAGACCTGCAGCTGTGCCCAGCTCCCCGCCCCGCCCCGCCCCGCCCCGCCCCCGCCGCGGCCCCGGACTCACTACACCGCCGAGTCCAGCAGGTGGAACTCCCGCCTTCGCTCGTAGCAGGCCCGGATGCCGCCGTCATTCCACAGCCACTGCATGGCCTCCGCGAAGCGCTTCTCGAAGGTGGTCACCTTGTAGGGGTCCTGGCTCATGACCAGGCTGGCGTGGCTCTGGAGGGAAGGGCGGGGCCGGTCAGAGCAGCCCCCTGGCCTCCCGGCAAGGCCCTTCCCCTCCTTTCCCGCTGCCCCTCCTCCTGTCCACGCACACCCTGCACATGCCACCGCCTCTGTCTCCCCACCGTGTGCTCCTTCACGCGTTTACCCTCGGAGGGGGCGTGGAGGCAAAGAGCCTGCCCCGGGACCAGGGCAGCAGAGAGGCGAGCTCCAGAGGACCATGGCCGGCGGGGCACCCCCTTTCTCACACGCGTTGGTTCCCTGACTCCCAGGAGACAAGTCCCTACAGATGTCCCCTGGGTTACAGATCAGGCTACTGAGGCATGAGAAGCAACATGCCCAGGTCTCACACTGAGGTAGGGCACCTGGCAGCCCCAGGGGTGTGGACCCGCTAAGGCCTGGGGATTTGAGAATAACCCCGGTATCCGATCAATTAGACCAGTGATTGGCAAACTCATGAGTCAACAGAGCCAAATATCAACAGTACAGCGATTGAAATTCCTTTCGAGAGCCAAATTTTTTAAACTTAAACTATATAGGTAGGTACGTTGTTATCAACTTAATTAGGGTACGTGGTATTTTGTGGAAGAGCCATACTCAAGGGGCCAAAGAGCCACAGGTGGCTCACGAGCCGCAGTCTGCCGACCACTGAATTAGACGGTTCGCGGCCTGTTATGGCTGGGTTTTGTCCACCACCCATGTCCTCCTCACATTCGTAAGTTTAAGCCCTAACCTGGAGGACCTCAGAACGTGAATGTTTCTGGAGATCGGGGTCTTTACGGAGGTGATCCAGTTAAAACGAGGCCGTTAGGGTGGGTGCTGATCTGCTATAGGACTGGTGTCCTTACAGGAAAAGAATAAGGACCGCTCGTGAGGACACGGAGAGAAGCAGCCGTCTGCCAGCCAAGGAGAGAGGCCTTAGGAGAAAGGAGCCACCGACACCTTGGTCTCAGACGTCCAGCCTCCACAATTGTGAGAAGACAAATGTCTGTGTCCCAGACTGCGGCACTGTTACGCAGCCTGTGCAAACCAAGACAGCCTGAGAGAATAGCGACTTCAGAGTTAAAAAAAATGACTAAGAATTTTAAAAGTGAAAATAAAGAGACCCGTCCTTCTAAAAATTCAGAGTAGAATTTGTATTCCGTGAAGGCCCTGAATAGTCCTTCATGTGCTTTGCAGGAAGTGAATATGGGTCCTTCACTCTTACAACACAGGAGCCTGGGCATGAGACCCTGGTGCCCACTCACCCCATTTCTAATGAACACATGAAAAATAAACAAAAGATCGGGTTTGGAATGGAAGAAATTACACTGTGGTTATGCACAGATGACATGACTATAGGTAGAAAATCCAAAATAGTCTGTAGATAAACTATTAGAATAAACAAGTGAACTTAATAGCGTCCCCAGATGAAAGATTAATAAATGAAAATAAGATATGTGTCTATATACTAACCACTAGCTAGTAGAAAAATTTTTTAAATTTAAATCACATTTATAGTAGCATCAAGAAATAGCAAATACCTAGAAATAATCTAACAATAGATGTGAAAGTAAGAAAGTGCTTATATCCAGAATACACAAAGAATTTGCTATTAGGTAGTAAAGAAAAAAACAAGGAACTGTATTTTTTTTTTTAAAGTGGAGGGGAAAAAAAATAGGCCAAAGATTTGAACAGTTGCTTCACAAAAAAGAATACCCAAGTGTCCAACAAACATATGAAAAAGTGCACATGCTCATTACTAGTCAGAGCAATGGAAATCAAAACCACAATCAGGCCAGCGGGCGTGGCTCAGTGGTTAGGCATCAACCTATGAACCAGGAGGTCATGGTTGGATTCCCGGTCAGGCCACAAGCTTGGGTTGCAGGCTCCGATTCGCAGCACGGGGTGTGCCAGAGGCAGCCGATCTATGATTCTCTCTCCTCATAGACGTTTCTATCTCTCTCTCCCTTCCTCTCTGAAACCAATAAAAATATATTTAAAACAAAAACAAAACCGCAACGAAATGCCACCAAGCACCCACCGGAATGGCTTAAATGAAGTGACAGGCAGCATCAAGTGTCGTGAGGACAGGGAGCACGGAGCTCTGCTGGTGGGCGTGTGAATTGCTACAATTACTTGGAAAACGGTGTCCTCTACATGTTGCTTCTAAGTAGATACCCAGCAGGAATATGCAAATGACCCAAATGTCACCGACATTAGGATGGACAAATAAATTGACCTTGGCCCCCGAAAGATAAGTGAATCACAGACATACGGCCCCAGAAGCCAGATGTGAAAGATCATTCCAGAAAATTTGAGAATTTAAAAAATAGGCAACTCATATATGGCGATGAAAGATGAGACCATAGTTATCTTGAGGGGGAGCCTCTGATTCGTCTATAAAGTGGGGTACTTGCTGAAAGGGGTTATTGTGAGGATTCAGTCATCTTATCACCCACTATCACCACCGAGCCCATTCTACAGCCCAGGCACAGTTTTGAGAGCTTTTGCATGTTTATCACATTCTTACATCAGCCCCAGTCCCTCTTCCAAAGTCCCTGGACCACCTTCTACTCACAAACCAGGTGCTTTCAGGCTTAGAAAGGTGATGTGACCTCACACCTGTCAGCAAGGCCATGATGAAGACCAAACACACCGAGAACAGCAGGTGCTGGTGAGGATGTGGGGAAATGGGCACCCTGTGCAGAGTGGTGGGAATGCAGAATGATGTGGCCACTATGGAAAACAGTATGGAGGTTCCTCAACAATTTAAAAATAGAATCACCATACAATCCAGCAATTCTACTTCCCAGAGTTTATCCAAAAAAAAAAAAAATGGAAAGCAGATCTCGAAAAGATATGAGCACTTCCGTGGTCATTGCAGCACCATTCTCAATAGCCAAAATGTAGAGAGAAAAGACACAGGTGAATGGATAAGAACATGTAGTCCATACGTGGAATAGTATTCAGTCTTTAAAAAGAAGGAAATTTTTGCCCTAGCTGGTTTAGCTCAGTGGATAGAGGGTCCCGGGTTCCATTCCGGTCAAGGGCACATGCCTGGGTTGCGGGCTTGATCCCCAGCAGGAGGCATGCAGGAGGCAGCAGATCAATAATTCTCATCATTGATGTTACTGTCTCTCTATCTGTTTCCCTTCCTCTCTGAAATCAATAAAACAATATATATATTTTTTTTAAATATATTTTTATTGAATTTTACAGAGAGGAAGAGAGAGGGATAGAGAGTTAGAAACATCGATGAGAGAGAGTCATCAATCAACTGCCTCTTGCACACCTCCTACTGGGGAAGTGCCCGCAACCAAGGCACATGCCCTTGATCGGAATCGAACCCGGGACCTTTCAGTCCGCAGACCAATGCTCTAGCCACTGAGCCAAACCGGTTTCGGCAAAACTATATATATATTTTTTAAAGAATATTCTTGTAAATTAAATGGTTATCTAACTACTATTCTGTATATCTAAAACTAATATAAAATAATATTGAATGTAAACTGTGATTGAAAAATAAATAAAAGCCTGGCTGGTGTGGCTCAGTGGTTGAGCATTGACCTATGAACCAGGAGGTTATGGTTTGATTCACAGTCAGGGCTCGGGTCCCCAGTAGGGAGTATGCAAGAGGCAGCCCAACAGTGGTTCTCTCTCATCGTTGATGTTTCTCTCTCTCCCTCTCCCTAGCTGAAATCAATAAAAATATTTTTAAAGCCAAAACCGGGTTGGTTCAGTGGATAGAGCGTCAGCCTGTGGACTGAAAGGTCCCAGGTTTGATTCAGGTCAAGGGCATGTACCTTGGTTGGGGGCACTTCCCCCGTGGGGGGTGTGCAAGAGGCAGCTGATCGATGTTTCTCTCTCATTGATGTTTCTAGCTCTCTATCCTTCTCCCTTCCTCTCGGTAAAAGAATAAAATATATTTTTTTAAGAAATATATTTTTTAAATAAAATAAAAATAAGGAAATTCTACAATAGGTATCAACATGGATAAACTTTGAGGACCTCATGTTAAGTGAGGTAAGCCAGTCATAAAAGAAAAATACTACACGACCCCAATGCAGGAGGCATCCAGAATAGGCCGGCTCACGGGAACAGAGGAGAAGGGCTTGGGAGGGCCAGGTGGGGTTGCTATTAGGTAGGATGGCGAGGCAGAGTTCCCCCAGGTAGGTGGATCATTCCAGACCTCTGCAGCCCATCCTTCCTCCCGGTGACACCGGACCGTGCACTTAAAATGTGAGAGGGTGGATCTCATGTCGAGTGTTCTTCCCACAATGAAATAATGTGCGTGTTCCTAAAAGGGTGATGTGGCCCTGACCGGTTTGGCTCACTGGATAGAGCATCGGCCTGCGGACTGAAGTGTCCTGGGTTCGATTCCGGTCAAGGACATGTACCTTGGTTGTGGGCACATCCCCAGGAGAAGGTGTGCAGGAGGCAGCTGATCACTGTTTCTCTCTCATTGATATTTCTAGCTCTCTATCCCTCTCCCTTCCTCTCTGTAAAAAAGCAATAAAATATATTTTTAAAAATAAAGTAAAAAATGAAAAGGTGTTGTGATGCATGGATTGCACAGCAGCCTTTCCCTACAGTAACCAGGTCTTTGTACGAACATTTCCACAGGGAGCAGGCATTGGTTCAGGAGTCCCTCGCCCAAGGGGTCCAAGGATGGCGCTCCGGGGATGCATGGGGGACACGTGGCAGGAGGTGGCGAGCGGAGCTGCCTGGAAGGCAGGACAGGATCTCCAGAACCCCGGGAGGGGGCATGGTTAACCAGGGCGGGGGGGGGGGGGGGGAGGGAAGGGGTCCTGGGGACCCGCCCCTCCCCCCACACCCCGCGTGGCACCCACGGCACCCACCTTGCTCTCGGGCCTGCTGAAGGGGATCTGCAGCTGCTCCATGGCCTGGATCATGGCCCGCATGGACGCGAAGATGTTCTGGTAGACCAGCGGCCGGAAGCCCTTGCGGTCCTCCTCCGAGAAGCCGGCGCCGTGGATGATGCGCATCTGCTTGATGAACGTGCTCTTCCCGCTCTCGCCCGGGCCTGTGGGTGCGACCACGCTCAGTCCCCGCCCGCCTTCCCACCCCGGCGGGGCCACTCTGTGCCCTCGGTGAGCGGGCCCGCCCTCTGCCCGTCTCCCTCCTGCACCCGCGGATCCCTCCCGCACCCCGCGGATCCCACCCGCTCCCCGCGGATCCCTCCCGCACCCCGCGGATCCCTCCCGCACCCCGCGGATCCCACCCGCTCCCCGCGGATCCCTCCCGCACCCCGCGGATCCCTCCCGCACCCCGCGGATCCCTCCCGCACCCCGCGGATCCCTCCCGCACCCCGCGGATCCCACCCGCACCCCGCGGATCCCTCCCGCACCCCGCGGATCCCACAGGCCTGTCTTCCTGTCCCGTGTGAGCTCAGGGTCAGGGCCCCCAGGAGGGTCCGCCAGCTGCGCCCGGGGCCACATCCAGACCCAGCCTGTTTGTGCACAGCTGGCGAGTTTTTAGTTTGTTTTTTTCTGTTTTTGATACTTTTTGTGTGAGTGTGATTTTTTACAGAGAGGAAGGGAGAGGGATAGAGAGTTAGAAACATCACCAGCTGCCTCTTGCACACCCCCTACTGGGGATGTGCCCGCAACCAAGGTACATGCCCTTGACCAGAATCGAACCTGGGACCTTTCAGTCCACAGACCCACGCTCTATCCATTGAGCCAAACCGGTTTCGGCTGTTTTTGATACTTTTTATGGTTCTGGCTTGTTTCCTATCATGTGGAAATTATATGAAATTCAGGTTTCGGTGTCTACCAATAAAGTTTTATTGGCACATGACCACACCCATCTGTGTTGGAATAGCCTCTGGCTGTTTTCTCCCTATAGATCACAGACAGCGAGGAGGCCTGTGTGGCTGGAGGGGAGGGGAGGGAGGAGGTGACAGAGGGGAGGGACGGGGCAGGCCATGCAGGGCCTTGAGGGAGGTGGGAGCCCCCAAGGGCTGTGGACAGGGGGGTGGGACATGATTCAGGTGCTCTGATGGCTGCTGTGGGGGAGGACAGACTGGGGGGTACCAGGGCAGAGAGGCACTGTGATGGGGTGGATCCAGGAGCTGGTGAGAAGGGGACATATTCGTGAGATATTTAGGAGATGTTATCAACAGTCCCAGCCTTGCTGATGAACCAAGATGGGGAGAGGGGCCCTTGCAGGGCCCGCTGCAGAACCGACAGGGCCAAGTGCAAGATGGAAGCCACAGGACCCTTCTGAGTGAGGCCCTGGGGGACTGCCCAGGCTGTCACACACAAAGCCGGCCCTGGGTTTGTGATACCCGTTCTGGAATCCTCAAGGGCCCCGCACCAAAACCTCCAACACCAAGGCTCAGCTCCCTGCTGCCTGAGCTCCAGACCACCCTCGCTCTCCTCTCCGTGCCTCTGTTTTTGGTCTGTGAAATGGGTGTGATAGCCAGGCAGGAGGTGCGAGCCTGGGAGGCTCCTCCAATATCTGGCCAACCTGCCGGCTCCTGGGGGCACAGGTGTGGGGGCTTTTCAGGGGCTAAAGGGGGGACAGCAGCAGGAGGAACTGGAAAAGCAGCAAAAAGGGAAGGGGTGGCCTGGTGGAGCCAAGAAAGAGGAAATGGGAGTGGGGAGGGGGGGCAGGGAGGAGGGTGGAGAGTGCCGGAGGCGAGGAGGAGGAGGGGGAGAAGTAGGAGGAGGAGGGGGATGCCTTGCACCAGCCCCCAGGGGTGTCCTGTCCCTCCCACCCCCGCACATCTGGGGGTGACGAGGCAGGTCTGAGGTGGCACCAGGCGCTGTCAGTCCACTGGAATCGAGGTCTAAGGAAAAGGGCCGCAGCTGTGTTGGCATATAGGCCATTAGTGGAGAAAGTGGGGAGGCTGGCCGTGGTGGGCCAGGGGTGCCTGCTGACAGCATTGCCCTATGCTCACCCACAGCTTTTGTTCGTGGACCTGGGGCGTCTTTGCTTTGTAGTGAGACTCAAATCCTCTGGAGATTTTAGGGGCAAAAAGGCTCCAGGTCTGCAAGTCACACACAGTTCAGAAAAAATGACTAGGTATCTATTAAGTATAAAGAAATGACAGCTGTATCCATGCATTCAATAGATCGTATGTGTACCTACACTTACATGTAGCACATACATGTGCATATATTCGGGGGAGAAGAATACAGGACACGTGGTCACATGTTAACATGTACAGTCCTGGCCAGCTAGCTCCGTTGGTTGGAGCATCACCAGGATGGACCAAGGTTGCAGGTTCAATCCCCCGTCAGGCCACATACAAGAAGCAAACCAATGAATGCATAAGTGGAACAACAAATTGATGTTTCTCTCTCTTCCCTTCCGCTCTCTCTCTAAAAATCAATACCATAAAAAGAAAAAAAAATTTTTTGTAGAAGAAACCAGGTACAACTGTTCTAGAAATCGGAACACATTTTAAAACAAGCTGAGAAGGGGAAAAAAAAGGTGTTGCGGCTCTAACCGGTTTGGCTCAGTGGTAGAGCGTCGGCCTGTGGACTGAAGGGTCCCAGGTTTGACTCCGGTCAGGGGCATGGTTGCGGGCACATCCCCAGTTGGGGGGTGTTCAGGAGGTAGCTGATTGATGTTTCTAGCTCTCTATTCCTCTCCCTTCCTCTTTGTAAAAAATCAATAATATATATATATATATATATATATATTATTTTTAAATGGCGCTGCGGATGGATAAGAGCTGAGCGTGAGGGGAAGCTGCTTAGGAGCAGAGGTCACCTCCGTGTACTATCTTTACAGCTTTCCTGTAATCTAAAATTATTCCCAAATAAAAAGTTTTCTTAAAAAAACACACACAAACACACACAAAAGCACCTCACAGGTCCCACTGTCCCTACTCTGAAGCTCTCCACGGTGGGGCATGTGTCTCAGAAGCTGGAATTCCTTAAACTGTAGGAAGAGGACATGGCAAGCTCGCTAAAAATTCCGGAAGTGAAACATCCGGACGCCGAAGTCAGCGACAGAAACTCCAGCCTCCTTCCCACTGAGAAGCCGGGTTTGGCCTCGGAATGGCAGCAGTGGCTGAGGGCATGAAGCACCATCTCTCCTGAGCCTTTCTTTGCTGTTAATCCTCACCCGAGGACATTTTCCCCTTAGGTTCGTAGAGAGAGTGGGAGGAAAAGAGGGAGGGGGGAGAGAGAGAGGAGAGAGAGAGAGAAAGAGAGAGAGAGAGAGAGAGAGAGAGAGAGAGAGAGAGAGAGAGAGAGAGGAACATTGATTTAAGACAGACACCTCAATTGGTGGCCTCCCACAGGCACCCCTGATCTGGGATTAAATTTGCAACACAGGCCGAAACCGGTTTGGCTCAATGGATAGAGCGTCGGCTTGGGGACTGAAAGGTCCCGGGTTCGATTCCGGTCAAGGGCATGTACCTTGGTTTCGGGCATATCCCCAGTAGGGGGTGTGCAAGAGGCAGCTGATCGATGACTCTCTCTCATCGATGTTTCTAACTCTCTATCTCTCTCCCTTCCTATCTGTACAAAATCAATAAAATGTATTTATAAAAAAAAAAAAATCTGCAACACAGGTCCATGCCCTTGACCGGGACGCGAACCCTCAAACCTTTGGTGTGTGGGTGAGTGCTCTAACCATTGAGCACACTGGCCATGGCTTGACCCCAAGGTAGGGAAGCTGAATCCCAGATGTGCTGAGGGGACTGCCTTGGGTCAAACGCAGTTCTGCCTGAGTCCAGCGCCATTGTTCTCCCCATCTGGGGTTACAGACCGAGCTGGCTTCCTGGGCTTCCCAATGATCACACCGGAAGCTCCGAACGCGCTGCCTAATGAAGACAATCACCACCACCACCGGCATCCTCTTCATCGTCCCCGTGAGAGGACGTCACTCTCGGCATCCGCCAGGCCAGGGGCAGGGCACTCTGCTGTCCTAGGTCAGTCCCCGTGAGGTTCCTGCTGTCTCTCCGTTCACAGAGGAGACCGGGGCTCAGAGAGGGCGCCTGCCTCTCCCAGGGGCACACAGCTCGTGGGGAAGTGGAGGACGAAACGGGGCCAGCCCGGAGGTCAGGCAACACCCACAGACCCGACAGCGCCACCTTTCCACAGACACTCACGCCCGGCGGCCTCTGGGAGCTGCCGGATGGGCAGGGCCTGGGGCCGGGCCTGCAGCCTCTGACCTCTCGGCCGCCTTCCAGCTCTCAGGCCTCGGGCCTCCGCTCACAGCACAGAGAACCGAGGTCTCCAGAAGCAACCGTCACCAAGACTGCAACGCACTGATTTCTTTCTTCCTTCCCATCTCTTCTGTGTCATTGAAGAAAAAAAGAGTCTGATCTCCACCCACAACATGGATGCTGTGACTCATGGATGGATCACAACCTGAATTCCCAAGAACGCCACGGCCGGAGCCCTCCTGGCAGCCCGTGCCGTCCTGAGCCACGAAGGGACCTGGAAGGTCTCCAGCCCCGGCTCCTGGTCGGCCTCAGGAAACCCCCACGTGGGGCCGGGGGGTGAGGGAGCCGCTGCATCCACCTGGCGGGGCCTCGCAGCCCAGACGGGAAGTGGGACTTCCTCCTGGGATGGAGGAGGAAGTGGGACCCAGCCGATGCCGGGGGAGTGGGCCCAGCTCCAGGCATCACGAGGCGGCATGTGGCTCCCGTCAGAGGGACGGCGGCCCCAGGCTCCCCCGCCCTGGGAAAGGGGGTTCCTGGGGGTGCAGGAGCCAGTCTGGGCAGCAAGGAGTGGCAGGCAGGTGGCTCAGCTTCCACGCTCGGCTCTGGCTCAGACTGGTCACGTCCATGGCCTCGGTGTCCCTGTCTGTCCCTGGGATCTGTGGCTTTGCTCTCCTGAGGCACATGCCCAGGACAGACAGACACAGGGGCTTGGAATGGGAATTCCAGGTTCTGATCCCGGCTGTGTGACCTTGGGCAAGTCACTTCTCCTCTCTGGCTTTGGTTCCCCCATCTGGGGCTATGGACAGAGCTGGCTTCCTTCTGACTGCTTCCCTCCCCAGCATGGCGATCGCTTCCTGTCCTGGACAAGCAATCTTCCCCTCCCACCTTCTAGCTCCGTGGCCTTCATCCTCAAAAGGATCAGCCAGCCTTCAGGAAAAAAATAACTTTTTTCAAAAAAGGAGGGAGGGGTGGCGGTGGCCTCAGGGCAGGGATGGGGTGGTCGAAGCCAACCCACAGGATTGTCCCAGGGCCCCCAATAGTGCTGGGGACACACACAGCCTCCGTGCGCCGCCCCCTGCCCCACACCAGCAGAGGGGGGTGTCCTGATCTGGGGCTGGCTGTGTAGTATGATCAGCGTGGTGCTGGGCAAGGGACTTTCCCAACTCCAGGAAGAAGTGGTACAGCCCTGGGGAAAATTGCCCCTGAATCAGGATTGATTGACTCATTCAGCCAGTTGTTCGCGCGTTTAGAAAGCATGCACTAGGCATCTCCTATCTGTCAGGTTCCTGTCTTTCTGAGCTCGCTGCTGGGGGTACAGGAGTGAATAAGACAGACATGGTCCCCACTCTTGTACTGTTTGCTCTATAACTGGAGAAATCAAATATCCTCAGATGAGGATTAACAAACAAACAAACAAAAGGAAAAGCTGAAGAGGGTCAGTGAGTGAAAGTCAAGCCGAGGACGGAGAGGGCCGAGGCTGTCTGTGCAGCCACAGCATCCGGGAACACCTCTCGGAGCGGGCAGGAGTTGAGCTGGGACCTTCCCTGAGTGAGAATGCCAGCCGTGCAAAGGCTCGGGGGACCCCGAGAACTCTGGGCAGGAAGCACTGCAAGAGCAAAGGTTTTGGGGTTCAGGTAAATGAACTTGAAATGTACCAGGAAAGATCACTGACATTGGTAAAGCACTAGATGTGAAAAAGGGACTAAGAACAAAGAATCAAAGAAGGGCCCTCGCCAGTTTGGCTCAGTAGATAGAGCGTCGGCCTGCGGACGGAAGGGTCCCGAGTTCTATTCCGGGGAAGGGCACATACCTAGGGGGCAAGCTCAGTCCCCTGCCCTGGTTGGGGTGTGTGCAGGAGGCAAGCACTCTAGGTGTCTCTCTCACTTGGATGTTTCTCTCTCTCGATCTCTCCATCGCTTCCACTCTTTCTAAAACAAATAAATGGAAAAATATCCTCACATGAGGATTAACAACAAACAAAAGAATGAACGAAGGGCATTGCGTTGGAGCCTAACACACAGAAAGGATGACACGGGGACGTTATAACCCATGCTATGCCTGCACATCAAACCGTTTTAAAGAAATCAACAAGTTCTTTGGAAGACACCAATAACCAAAGCCTACTCAAGAACAGACAGCTTCAATAGCCCTGTTTATTAAAAACAATAAATAATATATTAATGTTTCACCTCCGTTCTCCATATAATGGCAGCCTACCTATGAAGGAAATAAAATAGAAATCGCTGCTAAAGCAATTACATTCCTAACTAAAAACGTTTTAGACTCAGCCAGCTCAAGGATGATTTTGCCAAACGTTTAAGGAAAACAGAAACTATTCCACGGAGAGTAAGACGCCAGGTGGCTGCAGCTGCCAGGTTGTGGCCAGTAGGCAGAGCTGGGGCGGGAGAGGCCAAGGGCGGCCGGTGTGAGTTCTATGCCGTGTGAGACCTTCCCGGAGAATGGATGGGGCGTGGGGGGCAGGGGGTGGTAACTAGTTGAGCAGAGAGAGAGCAATGTGAGGCGGGGAAGGCCCTCAGTTAAGGTGTCATTCTTAGGGGTCCGGTGCTCCCCGCCCTCTCCTCTCTCCAGTCCTGGGGCCTCCCACGGCGCCAGGGAAGACAGGTGACCGCAGCCTCTCTGCTCTGGGCCCGGCGGCTGTGACTCCGGGACCTTCCCCAGCCCCCACCCAGCATTCGGGGAGCCTGGGGGACCCTCCATTGCCGCCTCCCTGGGGCCAGACACAGGGCAAAGGTAAGGTGACCAGACGTCCCGATTGCTAACAATTTGTCCCGCGTCCTGCGGCGTTTTAAAAAAGTCCCGATTTCTGACCAAAAATCAGGACTTTTTTAAAACGCCGGGAGGACGCGGGGCAAATTGTTAAAATTCTTTCCAAAAATCGGGACTTTTTTATTTTTATTTGATTTTTTAAAATATATTTCTTTATTGACTTCAGAGAGAAAAGGAGAGGGATAGAGAGATAGAAACATCAATGATGAGAGAGAATCGTGAATCGGCTACCTCCCGCACGCCTCCCTATTGGGGATCGAGCCCACAACCCGGCATGTGTCCTTGGCCAGAATCGAACCTGGGACCTTCCAGTCCGCAGGCTGATGCTCTATCCACTGAGCCACACCGGCCAGGGCAAAAAAAAATCGGGACTTTTTTTAAAAAACGCCGCGGGACGCAGGACACATTGTTAGAAATCGGGGCTGTTCCGCCAAAAGCGGGACGTCTGGTGGCCTTAGGCAAAGGGGTCCGGGGAGCGGACACCACAAGACTCGGGGTGTCAGCGGTCACAATCCACCACCCTTCCCCGTCACCCCTTCTCCCACGTCTGGCTCCATTCTCCTCCTCCGTCCTCCTGCTGCTGGGGACTGTTTTATCTGCTTCTCCGTTTATGGGTTCATGCCTGTCTCCCTCTCCAGGAGGTGAGGCCCACGGAGGCAGGGACCACTCCCGTGTCTCTGGCTGCCGTGTCTCCAGGAGTCACTGAATGCACTGCGATCTGTGGATGAGCCAACCAACCAGTCCCAACGAGGTGTCAACGCTCCTGCCCACAAAACTCTGTAGGAAACCTGCCGAGCCGGGCCAGCCCTCCCCGCGGGTGGCGTGGCCCGAGAGGGGAACTGGGGGGCCGAGGGGGAGCGGAGACGGAGGGAGAGGCCAGCCTCCCGGTCGGGGCGGGCGCAGGCCTGAGCTCAGGGCCCCCTTCCCCTGGCCCTGGCCCGGAGCCCTAGGGCGTGCTGGGCCTGCCAGGCTGGGCCCGGCCCCACCAGGCCGTCCCAGGGGCCACCTTCGTTCTCAGACACCCCGCAGGATGGTGGGGCCCACGTTTGGACCAGGCACCGGGGTTCCCGGTGCCTCAGTGTTCCCACCTGGCAAGCGGGCTCTCAGGTCCTCCCCGCCCGCGGCCAGGACCCTGCCTCCAGCCTCGTCCCCCCTCGCCCGCCCGCCCGCCCGCCCGCGGGCCCTGGCTCACCCAGCAGCAGCAGCTTCAGCTCCCCGCGGTCCCGCTTCTTCTGCTCCAGGAGGATCTTGTTGATCTCCTGGTCGATCCTGGCGGCCGTCTTCTCATCCTCCGTCAGGCACCAGGGGCAGCAGTGCCAGGCCAGCGACCGGGCCATGGTGCGGGGCCTCAGAAGGCGCAAGGCAGCATGGCCCCGGCCCCCGGGGGAGGGTGCCCCCACCCCGACGGCTCCAGGAAGGGCTCCCGGCAGCCACCCGTGAAGCGGCTGCCCTCTTCTTGGGGGTCACCCCCCTGGGGGCCCCCCGGCTTCCTGGCCTCAGGCCCCCAGGCAGCCCAGCTCGGAGAGGCCTGAGTGCCCGGCACAGGGCGGTGGGGGAGGAGGAGGAGCAGGAGAAGGGGTGCGGAGGCTCAGGGCTCCCCGCCCATCCCCAGACCTGCCCGGCCCGGCCTAACAGGTTGGCTGTGGCAGCCAGGAGAAGGGGGTGCCCCTGGGGAGGGCAGGGCGGCTCAGGGAAGGGCTCCCCGCAGTCTGGGTCCCAGCAGTTGTCTGGGCCCTCCTTCCTCATTCTGGAGAAGGGGTGGCCTCCATCCTTCCTGGGCCCCTGGCCCCGCCCAGCCTCCCCGCAGGCCCGGCCCGCAGCCCGCTCTGGGCCAATGGGGAGCCGGCCTCCGGGCGGCGGGCAGGGCGGCTCCTGCTGTGTGAGGCGCTGGCCTGTGCGGGCCTGTCTCACGTGCAGGCGCCCAGCGTGACGGGCAGAGTACCAGGTGCACCGGCTAGTAACTGGGATTTTGTAATCACAGAAAACACGACCGTTTCAAGAGAAACCTCAAGAGCGCTTTATGCAAAGTAATGTCCATCGCTAGCTACACATCCCCCCATCCTCCAGGTAATCTGTGGACACCGTCCCAAAAGAACTTTTCTTGTTTTGAGGCAAACCATCCAGAGACCCAGTTTTCCACTTCTTGGTACGTTTTGAAGTGCTGCTCAGACAGTGCGTGTGCCCTCGATCGGAACAAGTGTCATCTGAAGGAGCGAGGTCTGGTGGGCGGGTGGGTTCATACTTCCCAGGCAAGATCTCTTCGCGTGTCTTCAACTGGTTTTGAAGTGTGTGATGGTGCGTCATCAGGAAGCAAACTTACTTTGCTGTGTCTTCTGGCACATCCTGGTCGTCTCACGATCAAAGCAGTGGTTCAGATTGATTGTTCGTTGTCGGTAGCGATCGGTATGAACGGTGCCACCTGGTTTTAGAAGCTCATCATACACCACGCCCTCCTGATCCCACCAAACGCAGAGCATTGTCTTCCTTCCGAAGCGATTTGACCTTGCAGTCGATGTGGATGGTGGACCTGGATCAGCCCATGATTTTGTGCGTTTGGGATTCTCAAAATAAACCCACTTTTCATCACCATCACAGTTCGATGCAAAAAAAGACTTTCTTTCCTGCCCTTGAAGCAACATTGTCCTGATGACTTTTCGATTTTCCATTTGTCTTTCGCTCAGTTGATGTGGCACTCATTTTCCTTCCTTTACAATCTTTCCCATTGCTGGTAAACGATCAGGAATTGTTTGCTGAGCAACCTTTAATCTTTCTGCAAGTTGTTTTTGAGTTTGACTCACATCTTCATCCAATAAAGCTTGTATCTGTTGGTCTCCAAAGTTCTTCGGTTGACCTGGACGTCCTTCGTCTTTCACGTCGAAATCATCACTTTTGAAGCGTTTCAGCCAGCGTTCACAAGCATCTTGAGATGGAGCATGTTCAATAAGCTTTCCGAGATATTCAGCAGCATTTTTCTTCAAAATAGTAATGAGTTAAAACTCATTTTCCCCACAAATGCTTTTTTTGGGGGCACGAAATTCAACATTTGTAAGCATAAAAATACCTATGATGTTAACACCTTCAGAAATTTTGGCATACGAAGTTTTGAAGCTTGCTGTCAATACAACAAAATGGCATACCTATCAAATCACATATATACCAACACATGTGTAACTCCACCTTTCGGGAAAATTCGCATTATTAACTGGTACACCTGGTACGTGGGGGCACAGATCACGATGGCCCAGACAGGGCCCGCCAAGCAGGCTCTCACCCTGGGCCTCCAGGTCTCCACATGAACCGGGCAGCGTGGAGGAGAGCCGTTCATTGTTCCGGCAAACACCTGCTGTGTGCCAGGCGTTCTGGGTGCTACCGAAGACAAAATGACACAATCCCTGACCCCCCTGCCGAACATTCCAGTGAGAGACAAGTAAGGAAAGACTCTTTTTCTTATTTTTAGATCTGTTGGTTGCCTCCCGCACAAGCCCCAATTGGACCAGGAATCGAACCTGCAGCCTACGTCTGTGCCCCGACTGGGAATGGAACCTGCAGCCTTTCAGTCCTGGACGACACTCCGACCGACTGAGCCACTGGCCAGGGCAGGAAAGGCATTTTGAACAAATATTCAAGCCTGTGGGATGGCAATCCATTCTGAGCAGAGAATACAGTGGGGCCGGGGGCCGGGAGACCTCAGGGGCTGAGCCGTGCTTTCCTCAGGGAGTCAGGAAGGTCACACGGCCCGGCCGCAGGTGACACCAGAGGGAGCTGATGATCGGCAGCCTGGGCACGGAGGTCCGGCAGTGCAGCCTACTGGGCAGGGCGGGCCCTGACACCAAGGCCCAGGCCGAGGCCCCTCCAAGGCGGACGAGGACGCAGGGTGAGGACGTGGGGCAGCTTCCTGACTCAGCGGAGCGGGGATCGCAATTTGTCCCCGAACCAGCTGATCTTGGCTGTTTCTGGGTGCAGAATGCCCTTTGAGAGGTTCTTAAAAGTTCTAGAACTTTCTGGAACACCACTGCCCTGGACATACGCATGGTTCAGGGGCCTCTGGACCCTTCACAGGTGGAGCTGTCGAGGCTCAGAGAGGTGGGTCCTGAGGTCAACCGGCAGCGACTGCCGCCCCTCCCCCAGCCCCAACCCCGGTGCGGTTTTCTCTGCTGGTGAAGCATCAGGAGTGGCTGGTGGGAAGTTTCATAAAGTCTCCCACCCCACCCTACCCTGCCCCTCCCCACCCCACCCCACCCCACCCCACCCCAGTCAGGAAGCTGGGGCAGGCAGACTCTGTGCTACCCGCCTCACCCCCACCCCACCCCAGCTGGATGGCCCCCCATTCCACCCCACCAGTCAGGTCACTGGGGCAGGCAGGTACTGTGCTGCCCCCACCGCCGCTGGCTGGCCTGGAGGTTAGGATGACTCCTGCAGCAGGCCGGGGGAGAAAAGCAGAAATCAGCCTGGGCTGCACGGAGCTGGAGGACAGCACAGAACAGAAATCACCAGCTTGGCCACGAGGAGGCCGGCTGAGTCACAGACCAGAGAGCGTACGGAAGTGCAGAGCAGCCCCGCATCCGAGGGCCCCTTCTCCGGGCAGCTGCCAGCTGCCCATTCCCAGCAGCAGGACCGAGTGCCCGGCCCAGCCTCACACCTCCCTCGTCCTCACTGACCTCAGAGAACCACCGGCGCCCTCGCTCCCCGCTGGGCTGGGCCTCTCTGAATTCCCCAGCTTCAGACAAACCTCCCCTCGGTTCCCCAACAGGCAAGCTGGTTCCTCCCCACAGGCCAGGCGCATATTACTTCATCAGGGGTACCGGGTGAGCGTGAGTGCATGTTTTTTTTGGGGGGGTGGGTGGTTTTTGTTTTTTTAGGGAGGAAGGGAGAGGAAGAGGGAGAGAGAGAGAAAATAAAACAACAACACATCGATAATGAGAGAATCATTGATTGGCTGCCTCCCTTGCTCTTCTTTATAAATTTACAACCAAACTAAGCCTCCCTAAAAATGGCCTTCATCTCCTACTGTTCGTGAACTCGATCTGAATGAAACCGCCCAGGGTGAGTGTGGGTGTGTCTGGCTCTGGCTATCCCTTGTAATGACTGTGCACTAAACCCACACAGTTCATTCATCCTCCTGGCCTTATCAGTATTTTCTATTTATTTTTTAAAAACTGCCCGTGACTCACCTATTCACCTATTCACCCATTCTCTTTTTCTTATCAACATGTTTATTTTTACAGAATTGGGCATAATTGACCTGTGTTGGTTTCGGGTGTACAACACAATGACTCAGAGTTTGCATGTGCTATGGAACGGCCACCACAGAGTCAACCTCCGTGACCACAGAGCTACCGTCACTTTCTCGTGACGAGAAGCTTTAAGATCTGCCCCCTCTGCCACTTCCTAATGGACAGCACGGTGTTATTGCCCTCGGTGGCCGAGCCGTGCCAGTCATCCTGGCCACTAGCGAGGGGCCCGGTTTAACTTCCCTTCGGGACTGACGTGAGCAGGGCAGCTATGAACCACTGGCCCCTGCCTTTTGGTGACCATATGTGACTTCCTGTGGACAAATACTCAGTAGTGGAACGGCTGGGTGGTACAGTATCTCCCAGGTATCAGCTATCTTTTTGCCAAAGTCCATGCACTGATTTATACCACCACTAGCAAGGGGGAGTTTTTACAGGACTAATTTATCTCAACCCGAAAATTCTCCTTTATTCAGAAAAGATGCACTCCTCCCAGATTCCCTGTTTTTAAAAATGTCCCTTCTGGTCCGGCCGGTGTGGCTCAATGGTTGAGTCAACCTATAAACCAGGAGGTCATAGTCAGACTCCTGGTCAGGGGATATGCCCGGGTTGCAGGCTCCATTCCCAGTGTGAGAAGTACAGGAGGCAGCTGATCAATGACGCCCTCTCATCATTGATGTTTCTATCTCTTTCTCCCTCTTTCTTCCTCTCTGAAATCAAGAATTGGCTTGATTTTAATAAAGAATTGTTTTGTTTTTTTGTTTTTTTTAAATATATTTTATTGATTTTGTACAGAGAGGAAGGGAGAGAGTTAGAAACATCGATGAGAGAGTCATCAATCAGCTGCCTCTTGCACACCCCCTACCAGGGATATGCCCGCAACCAAGGTACATGCCCTTGACCGGGAATCGAACCCGGGACCTTTCAGTCCCCAAGCCGACGCTCTATCCATTGAGCCAAACCGGTTTCGGCTCAATAAAGAATTGTTTTAATAAAGAATTGGCCATTTACATTTTCTCAAAGTACCTCCCACTCCTCAGCTGATGGGATTGTTTGCCACTGAGGGCCACAGTTGTGTCCCTCCCTGGACCCTGCCCTTAGCCACACCCAAAGCCATGCCCCCACCCCTCCTTTTGTTTGTTTATTTTTAAACTATTTTTATGGATTTCAGAGAGAGGAGGGGAGAGAGAGAGAGAAACATCAGTGATGAGAGAGAATCATTGATCAGCTCCCTCTGGCCTGAAACTCCAGGCAGGGGCCCTGATCTAGAATGGAACCGTGACCTCCTGGCTCTTAGGTGGATGCTCAACCACTGAGCCGCACCAGCGAGGCCTCCTTTTATGAACTGATGAGCTATTTATTTGGATAAGACAAAAAAGTCTCCCTCCAGCAAGTCCACCTTTGCCTACGCATCCAAAAGAATAGGCGTCAGGGCCTCAGACAGGTACCTGCACACCCATGTTCACAGCAGCGTTATTTCCAAGAGTGAAAAGGTGGAAACAGACTATGTGTCCACTGCTGGCCAGCAGGGAGCTTCCTGAACATAGGACCCTGGCTCAGGTTTTTAGTCTTGAGATTCTCCTACTTTTTTAAAATATATTTTTATTGATTTCAGAGAGGAAGGGATAAGTAGAGAGAGATAGAAACATCATTGATGAGAATCATTGATCAGCTGCCGCCTGCATACCAGGATTTGAGCCCGCAACCCGGACATGAGCCCCAACTGGGAATCGCAATATGACCTCCTGGTTCATAGGCCAGCACTCAACCACTGAGCCGCGCCACCCAGGCCGAAATTATCCCAATTTTGAAAGAAGGACCCTACGTTTCCAGACCTTTTTGCCTCAACTCCACCTGGCTAGACAGGTTGAAGCTGGTGCTAAGACCCAGGAAGTGCTGGTCTACCATCAGGGCAAAGGGCTGGCTTCCTCCGGCCTCAGTTTCCCCTGTGGAACCTGGGTGATGACAGGACTCCTCTTAGCGGATGCCTGGTAGAGCCAGCAGGTAAGAGCGACAGGAGAGGCCCCAGCTGGGCGTAGAGGGCTGAAGTCTAGATGACGTCCAGACGCACAGGCAGCCTCAACCAGGTTCCCTTCCCAAACCAACCTCCCAGAGTCAGCTCCCCTCCTGAGCCTTCACTTTGTCCAGCCCCATCCTCTTCCACCTGGAACATCTGTCCCCTCCAACATGGTCCCAAGTTCTCACCCCCAGCCCCGCCTCCTCCCAAGTCTGTCCTTCCTGTACCGGCCACTAGAGGGCACCTGTGAGCACCCCAGTCAGGTCCTACATCTCCCTTCCCCAGTCTGTCCTCCCCACAGCAGGCACCAGAGGGCGCCTGTGAGGACCCGAAGCAGGCCTCATTCTCCCTCTGCCCACAGATTCCTGGGACAACACTCTTAACAAACACAGCCAAGGCAGGAGGTGCTTCCCTTGCAGGATGCTCCAGCACTCAAGACCTCAGAGCAAGGGCCCTGGTGCCCCCATCCAGCCCAGGACGAAAGGCCTTCCAAAGGAAGCCATGGCAATGGGTCCCATGAGCTCAGATTCCAGTCTGAAGGTGCCAGGATCCAGGCTAGCCATTGGGGGCCAGGCAACACCCCTGGGACCTTCAGGGCCCTTTTGCAGCTCCCACCCATCCCCGTGGCCAGCAACAGGAAATAAGGCAGAGGGGCTGCAGCATTTAGGAACAAGATTTATTCCAATTTAAAACAATCATTTCAGGAGAAAGATATGAAAAGTCAACTTCCATCAGGCGTCTCTGGATTCAGGGGTCAGGGCCCCGGCACTGAGCAGAGCCTGCCGCCCGCCCACCTGGACAGGGCAGCTTCCGCCGTGGGCTGGCATCGAGCTAATGCACCCATCCCCCAGCACACGTGACAATACATGCATTTCAAATGACAAAAGGTTTAAAAACAGCGTTTTATATAATATTTTTTAAATAGGTTAAGGTTTAAATCGTCTTGAAATCAGGACTGTGTAATATACAAGTATTACCCGACAGTGTTCACCCCACCAGCCGCAAGTTCCTGCACTGCCGCCAGGGGCATTGGCACTAAGACTCTCAGGTCTCTCAAGGATTGGGTGCCGGGGAATGGCTATACTGCAGGGTGATCCGACACAGTGGGAGGAGCTGGGGGGTTGGCACGTGAGAGAAAGCATTAGGAGGAGTTCATCAGGTTGAAAATCAAAGACACTGACCAACCTTGCAGGGGACCGGGACCTCTGGCCCCGGCTGGCACTGGCACAAAACTGGTCTTGGATTCCCCCCGGGACACTGGATGGCCCTGCCCTCAGCTCCTGGAGTGGGGCCAGGCCCATGGAGTTCCAGAAGGCCCAGTTAAAGGGGAGGAAGGGGGTTTGGGGGCTTTAGCCAGCCTTGGGCTGTGGGATGCTTGGCACACTGCCTCCTAAGAGGAGTTAATTCTCCTGGTGCCTCCCCCACATGCTCATGCCACCTCTCAAAAGCCCAATCCAGTTCCTTTTTTGTGATCTGGACCCTTGAGAGGTGCTAGGATATCAAGATGCCCACCCTACGAGGACCTCAAGTCCTCACACGGACGGGCCCACCGCCAGCAGCACCACCTGCTTCCCCCCACTGAGGAAGAGAACGGGGTTATGTTCAACCCTCTCAGATACACACATGGCACAAAAAGGACCCTTTTGGGAAATTGGCTGAGAAGCTAGGGGTCCCCAGCTCATCTGCCCCAGATGGAGCGGATTTCAGGAATGTAGCCCCCCCACTTCTGCCTGTCTTTGGCTCCCCATTGCCCTGAGGCTCTGCTGGCTTTGTCCTGCTGGTGGGTTGGGGAGAGGAGGAAGTAGGGGCCAGCCACCCAGGACTGGCTGTTCGGGTGGGTTCGATTTTTGTGTTGTTTCTTTTGCATTTGTTAATGGTCCCAAAAAGGAGCAGCCACACAGACTGCTACTTTAGGGTCCAGGTGTAGTGAGCGGTCCGTTCCCCTTCACTGTGCAAAACAAAACAAACACTGTAGTGTTCAGTCTACATCAGATGAAAAGCCAACTCCTTCCCCTCAAAAGACCAGCCCCCTGCTGTGCCCTCCCTCAGAGACCCTCTGGGAGGGGGACCTGGGCCAGGCAGCCCATGGCTCTGGCGTGGTGCATGACCATGCCTGGAGGCTGCCCAGGGCCAAGGTGCCAGCTGCTGGGTGCCACGTGACCTTCAGCAGCTCTGGGCAAAGTGCCCCTGCTGCCTGCTGGGTTCCCAGGGCTCAGCAAGTGCATGCAAGGGCGGCCACCACGCCTGGGAACCACCACAGGACTCTCCCTCAACCTCTCTCTGCTTTGTGGGAACAGACCTGAGAATATTCTGAAAAAGTCCCCAGCCCACAGTCATCACTGTTTCCAAACTGGCTACAAAATGGAATGAAAGCAAAAGTGACTCTCATCCAAGTGGGTCCTCTCCTGACTCCCAGGCCACGTGGCTCCCCGGGCGCTCTCCGGCCTGGGTGGTGAGCACATGACCCTCAGGACACAGGGAGCTCCAAGCAGACCAGATGGCCCTGGAGACACAGCTCAGGGGACCCTGAGCCCAGGACCAGGCAACCACCGGAGACTGAGACAGGGTCCAGAGATATCTTCACTGCAGAGGAGCCCTTATACTTTTTGTTTTTCCTTTAAAATAAAATAAAAAAAATGGTTAGGCACTTCCCAGGGTGGGCAACAGGGGGAGCCACCCACCCCCACTTCTTGGAGTCCAGTGAGCAAAAATACAGCACAGTCGTGAAGATGGCAATAACTTAAAAAAAGGAAGAAAGAACAGTACAGTCTCCACATCCCCACATCTCCACATCACGGGACCGGGGCCAGCTAGGCGGTCCGTCCCACGGTGGCCGAAGGTGCAGCCCCGAGGGTTGGGGTCGGGGCCTAGGAAGGCCTGGAGGCGCTGGGGGCAGGGCACTTGTCTCATCTCTGCTTGTCTCATTTTTCTTTTTTTTCTTTTTCCTTTTTTTTTTTTTTCTAGAAAAAGGCGAGCCACAGTCAAGGCCAGAAAAAGGCAGCCTGTGCCGCTGACAAAAGGTGAGAAGGTGCACGAAGTATATAGAAAGAAAGATGTACATCCCCTGATAACTGTGAAATAAAAACCATTTGTTAAAAATATGAAAAAAAACAGCTCCTCTGCGGTCAAAGCCGCGGTCACATCATCACACGGGAGGCGGCCCGCGGCGCCACAGGTCACACCAGGTTGTACTCCTTCAGGTTGAGCTGCAGGATGGTGTCCTTGACGGCCGCGAAGACAAAGCGGATGTTCTCCGTGTCGGTGGCGCACGTGAAGTGCGAGTAGATGATCTTGTCGCTGTCAGGGTTCAGGTCCACGAACATCTTCAGGATGAACTCCCGGGCAGCCTGCGCATCCCGCTGAGGCCCTGGGGGAGGGAGGCGGGTCAGTCAGGCCCAGACTGTCGTGCCAGGGGCAAGGAGCGGGGGCTGGGGTGCCAGCCATGGGGGCAGCCCATGTGCCTGGGCTGCGGTGTGCCTGAGAGGAGGCAGCTTTCTGCGTGTGGGTGTGCAGTCTGCGCAACCCCGCACTCATCATCTGCGCAACCCCGCACTCATCACCGCCCTTGGCCCACCTGGCTGGGACCACCACCTGCTGTGCACTGGATGCTCCCATCACCTCCAGACAGGGGCCAACCTCCCTTCCAGCCTCACTTCACCAGATTACACTCACAATGCACCACAAATACACACCCGCATCCAAACACGTGCACACATGTGCCCAGACCTACACGCATACCCACACACCCCTGCACATACAAACAGCTGCCACCCCAGCCTGGCTGTCCATCCAACTGTCCACACCCTTGCCCAGAGGCTTCTGCCCATGATTTCCGTCCTTCCTGTCTATGGTCTGCACCCACTCCAAGCCTTGGTCCATCATCTCCACTGTCCCTTCCCAGCTAACCTCCTGCTCCCCCTCCAACAGAGTTCCTGTCTGCCCCACCAACACCCCCCACCCCCGCCAAGAGGCCCAGGGGACTGAGCTCAGAGCCCAGCACCCTAATCCCTGCCAGCCTCACTCGGGTTTTTAGGGCAGGAGCCAGTGGCCTAGATCACAAGGCCCCACCCATGACGGGTCAGACCAAGCCTGTCACCCCCAACTCAAAGGCTGGGCACTGTGTTTCACAGGCAGGAGCGCTTAGGGAGATGCCCACCCATGACCCCTGCTCTCCTAACCAGCATGGGCACCACCACCTGCCTTAGAGGGAGGGAGTGACTGAGCGCCCTGGGCAGACAGCTACAGCTCACACACAACAGAGTGGGGGGCCAGAAGCTGGGATAGTTCACGCAGGAGCTATCTGCCCTCCATTAGGAGCTCAGCTGACCAGGAAGGTTGGGATGGTTGTCCTGGGTCACTCTGTACTGGCAGCACCATGCTCCTCCTTATGGCCTGGCCACTGAGCCCACATGAACTTCTCACTCTGCGTGGGCGATCAGGGACAGGCCACTGAAGGGGGGACTGGGAGCTGAACATTCCAGCGTGTCCCTCCTATTGCTGTGTACCGACTGCAGGGGGCCCCCTCCCACAGATGAGGCTCTTCCTGGGGACAAGGCCTTTCTGCCCATCGAACGCTTGGGAGGATCCTGGAGGAAGCAATGAGCATAGAGTGCTCTGCCTGCACTAACCATGCTCAGGCCCGAGGGAACCACCCTCCTCCTGTCAGCTGAAGGCACCGAGGCCCAAAGAGGGCGCGGGATGTGCTGGAGCCCCCACTCGCCTCCCCGACAGACCCGGTCAGGCTCAGGGCTCTGGAACGTCTCCTGGTTCTGCGGGGCCACGGAGGGAGGAGGAGGCACAGGGAGGCAAGGATCCCCCGGACTCACCATCAAACTCGGGGAAGTAGTCCACCAGGTGGGAGTACAGGATCTTGTCCTCCAGCAGGTCCTTCTTATTGAGGAAGAGGATGACTGATGAGTTCTGGAACCAGGGGTAGGTGATGATGGTCCGGAACAGGGCTTTGCTCTCCTCCATGCGGTTCTGCAGAGGGAAGGCTCGGAGATGAACGAGGCCCTGGGAGCCGCCCTCACCCGGAGCCCTCAGAAGGGCCAGGGGCCGGTGAGTAGGGGAGCCCCTCACTGCTACCCAGGGCTCCCTCCCCTTGGCAGCCCAAGCACTGGCAGGGCGTCTCACCTCGTTGTCCGACTCCACCAGGACTTGGTCGTATTCACTAAGGGCCACGAGGAACATGATGGATGTCACATTCTCAAAGCAGTGAATCCACTTCCTCCTCTCGGACCTCTGTCCTCCCACATCCACCATCCTGCAGGTGACAGGAGTGCCACAGGGCTCAGTGCTGGCCTCTACAAATAGCACTACTTCCCCAGCAAGCCCCCCCACCAGCATGCTCCGTCTGCTATCACATACACCCCAATACCCACTGAAGCCCCAAGAGTGCACCAGTACCCATCAGAGCCCTGAGGTTCTCCCGAAACAGATCAGAGGCAGAAGAGCCCCCAACGTCCATTAGCGCCACAGGGCCCCTCAATGCCTGTCAGATCCCAACAGCCCCCTAAAGCCCATTAGATCCCTAAGAGCACCCCATACATGTTACAGCCATGAGCACCTGTAGTATCTGTGGGAACCAGGAGGCCCCATACCCATGGGAACCAGCAGTCTCCCATTTCTGCAGGAGCCATCAGAGCCCCCAGATCTGTGGGAACAGGCCTCACATCTGATTTCTGCCTTAAGAGGAGACCTTGGTCTAAAGTGCCCGGTGGAGTCGAAACTGGTTTGGCTCAATGGATAGTGCGTTGTTCTACGGACTGAAAAGTCCCAGGTTCGATTCCAGTCAAGGGCATGTACATTGGTTGCGGGCACATCCCCAGTAGGGGGTGTGCAGGAGGAAGTTGGTCGATGTTTCTCTCTCATCAACGTTTCTAGCTCTCTATTCCTCTCCCTTCCTCTCTGTGGAAAATCAACTATATATATATATATATATATATATATATATATATATATATATATATAAATTAAGATGTCCTATTTCTTTAAAAAATAAATAAATAAATAAAATAAAGTGCCCGATGGAGCCCTAGCCAGTTTGGCTTAGTGGATAGAGCGTCAGTCTGCAGACTGGACTAAAGGGTCTCAGGTTTGATTCCAGTTAAGGGCACATGCCCAGGTTGTGAGCTCGATCCCCAGTAGGAGCCGTGCAGGAGGAAGCTGATCAATGATTCTCTCTCATAATGGATGTTTCTTTCTCTCTCCCTCTCTCTTCTTCTCTGAAATCAATAAAAATGTATTTAAAAAATAAAGTGCCCAGTGGACAGGCAGTGTGCGGGAATGTGAAGTGCGAACCCAGTGGGACCTGCAATGTGGGCCCACCTTTGGACCCCACATCCCGCATCTGGAAGCACCCTCCCCTCATTGGTCGTAATGCAGCATTGTCTATAAAACACTAGCCCGAGTCTCGGCCTCCTCCACAGGGAGACTCAGACCAAGGGGTATTCAGTTGACGAACACGTGTCAGCCACTGCGAGGGAATGAAGGGACAGCTGCAGAGAGCGAAGCTGTATGTCCTGTTACTAGTGAACACAGCAGGCTGCAAAGTTCACTATCCAACGTGAGAAACAGGTAAGAAACAAGAGGTCCAGAAACAAAAAGGGGTGTGTGCATGCACGCGCGCGCACACACACACAGGAGGGGGGTGTAGGGGGGAATGGGGACAATGTCTAAGAGACAGGGTTATTTAGTTTTGGGGATTTCTTTTATCTGCTGTTAATTCTCACCCGAGGATACTTCTTTATATTGACTTTTATCTTTTTTGTTAATCCTCACCAGAAATATTTTTCTATTGATTTTTAGAGAAAGTGGAAGAGAGGGGAAGAAACAGAGAGAGAAACATCAATGTGAGAGACACATAGACTAGTTGCCTCCCATATGTTCAGTTTTGGGCAATCCCAGGGCCAGGGATTGCCCAAAACTGAACCAAGGACCCTTCAGTCCGTGGGCCAATGCTCTATACACTGAGCCAAACTGACGAGGGCTTCCATTGATTTTTAGAAAGAATGGAAGGGAGGGAGGAAAAGAAGGGAAGAGAGAGAGAGAGAAAGAGAGAGAGAAAGAGAGAGAGAGAGTGAGAGAGAGAGAGAGAGATATCAATGTGAGCGAAACACTGATGGATTGCCTCCTGCACAAGCCCCAACTAGGGCCGAAGATGGAACCTGTAACTCAGGTCCACACTCTTGACCGGGAACTGAACCCATAACCCTCCAGTGCACAGGCCAACGCTTTACTCCTGGTAACACCAGGGCTGAATTCCCCAGGTTTTTAAAATTTTTTTACAATCGATTTTGAGAGAAAGAAAGGGAGAGTGGAACATCAGTCGCCTGCTTTCTGCATGCCAAGGGACTGAGCTTGCAACCCAGGCCTGTGCCCTGGCTGAACTGGCACCTTTTGGTGCACAGACAACGCCCAAACAACGGAGCCATACTGGCCAGAGTCCCTATGTTTTTAAAATAAGAAAAGACTCTATTTTTAAAGAGAAAGACAAAGGCTCTAAGAAAAAGCAGCCCTCAAGCCCCAACCTGAACTGGAAAAGACAGGTATTCCTATAGTTGCCGTCCCACCCGCCCCCCCCCTCTCACACACACACACACACACACACACACACACACACACACACACACTGCTGTGTGGAAGGTCAGACAGAAATGGCTCCAGGGGAGGGCGGAGACATAGGCTGCCCACCATGGCTAGCAGAGGCAAATCCACCTGGTGGGGATTTCACAGAGGGGACTCCAATAAGCACAGGTGGACGGCGGACATGCCAGGATGACTATGAAGGGCAGGAGGGTGGTGACAGGCCAAGAGCCCTGGTTCAGATGCCAGGCACATGATGGCAGCTGCAGCCAGTCTGGGGAATGCCATCAGGGGCAAAGTGTTTGGGGTCACAGCCTTTCTGGAGCATGAACCTCCCCAGTGCAGCTGGGCTAAAACCGGGGCCCCCAGGGGCCAGATCTCCACATGAGGTCCGCCCTTTGGGACCAGACCCATCTTACACGCAGGCCAATCAGGCCATCATTCGATGACATCTGAGCTCCGATCAGCGCCAGACCATTAGCCTGGCCTGCCTTCTTTGATCATACAATCAGACAACAGTGCGCTGGCTGAGGGCACAGCTGGACAAGAGGGGTCTCGATGAACCCTCAGCTGCCCCACAGCACCCCTGCTCTGCAGACCACCCGCCCACTCCTGCACAGGTCAGCACCCTCCCTCACACCAACCATTCCACTGCAAAGACCCCACCCACAGGCTGTCTCCCCGAGGCCACCTCTGGCCAGCCCCAACAGTCACTGGGGCCTGGCTCACTCTGAAACTGGAGATGGTTACTTATTCATAAATCTTATCTCCCATCCTGGATCAGAAGCTCCCTGCGGGCAAAGACCAGGATCTTTGCTGCCCCCACAATGGGGGCTCTGGGTTTGGAAAGGAACAGCCATCACAGCAGCCTGCAGAACCCCAGCTTCCCCAGAAGCCCCCCCTCCCCGGACACCGGGACACAGGCACCTGAAGATGATGTTCTCCAGGTCAAACGGGTACTCGATGATGCCGGTGGTGGGCACACGGACCCGCAGCACGTCCTGCTGGGTGGGCAGGTAGCCCGAGGTGGCAATGCGGTCCACATCGGTCAGGTAGCTGCAACAGAGCAGGAACAGGGCTGCTCAGGCCAGACTGCAAGGGGAGGGGACATCCCAAGCAACCAGGAGGGGCCTGCAGGGGTCTCACCTGAAACAGCCAGGAATACTCGGGAAAAGATGGAACAAGGCCTCCCACCCCCACCCTGGACAGGAAGGAGCAGGTCATTCTCGGTCTCATGGGACACAAAGATGCTGATCAGGGGAAGACTTGGGAGGGACTCTCCTGCTCTAGAAGGAGAAAAGGGACCAGCGCCAGGGTTTCCAAGAGAGGCTGCCGGGCTGGATGGGTGACTTTTCAGAAATAAATTTACTATTTTAGGATCATTTCAGAGCCACAGAAAAGTTGTAGAGACACAACAGAAAATTCCCAGCACACACCCACCTTCCCTACCATGAACATCTTCGATTAATTTAGTGCATTTGTCACAACTAACCAGTCAATATTCACAGTGTCATTAACTGAGTCCACCCTTTCCCCAGGTTGCTTCAGTTTCCCCTGAGGTCCTTTCTCTTTCCCAGGACCTGACCGGGACCCACATGACCTTCAGGCCATTATCTGGCGGGGCAGGCGGGCAGCGCCTCACTCACTATTTGGCGGAGTCGGAGAGCTGGTACTCCCGCCTCCGGTCATAGCACTCCTGGATGCCAGGGTCATTCCACAGGGTCTTGATGGCGTTGACGTACCGGTGCTCAAATGTCGTCACCTTTTCCACGTCCACTTCCCGGATCAGGAGCGCGTTGGCCTGTGAGGAGAGGAGGGAAAAAGGCCATGGGCTTGCCAACGGCCTGGACTCAAGGGGTGCATCCCTCGTCCCAGGATGTGGCCACACTCAGCACCAGCCAACCAGAGTCAGAACCATAAACTCTAGTTTTGTGTAAACACGAGGGAGGAAGAACAGGTCTCAAAGCAAACCCGAGACTGGGGCACTTTGGGGCAGGGCCTGCCGGGCCACTATGTCCCCCTATGTAGGAGGGAGCTTTCACGGGTCAGGGAGGCAAGTGCCAATCAAGCTGCATTTATAGAAACAGGCTGCAGTTTCATTAATAGAGATGCTGATGGTCATCGATGGTCCAAGTGTGAACTGGACTCTGAACTGGGCCTTAGCTGGAAGAGATCCTACAAATTGAGACCCAATGGGCCAGAGGCTCAAGCTGGCCCCACAGCCAGGATGGTGGGGATGGTAGGGGTCCCTGAAAACCTATGAATTGGGATAAAGGTAAGAACACACCTATCAGAGACATATTAGAAATCTGGCTGACTGGCATTCTTAAGCCTAAAAGTAAATTAATTCATTTATGCCATATTTTGACAGATATGCACTCCATGCCATGCATTAGCCCAAGGAGAACTTCTGGGCGTGTGCAAAAGTCTCTGAACACAGTTCTATGAAAGCAAAGTCAAATCGGCCACCAGTGAGAGCCTTGGGCCCACAGCTGGCAGGGCAGCCACTGGGGAGAGCAGGTGTCAGCAAGCACAGGCCCGGGAGAGATGAGGAAAGGCGTGCGAATAAAACTTGTTCACGATGTCACAGCACCAGGATTCACAGGGGACAAAAAATGCGAAGAGCCAAATGTCCATCAATGGGCGAAGGTAACCCACCCATGCACTGGATCATTGTTCTGCCAGGCAAAGGAGAAAGCACTGGCACTCACTACAGTATGATGAAGCTTGAAAACAATGCTCAGTGAGAGAAGCCAGACACACAAGGCCACACTATGTGATTCCATGGGTGTGACATGCTCAGAACAGGCACATCCACAGAGATGGAGAGTGGGTTCATGGTTGCCAGAGGCTGGGGAGGGAGATGGAGAGTGAATGCTAATGGGAACAGAGTATCTTTCTTTTTAAAATCCTGATCCAAGGATATGTTTATTGATTTTAGAGAGAGAGGGGGAGAGAGAGAAACATCGAGGTGAGAGAGAAACTTCTATTGGCTGCCTCTTGTATGTGCTTTGGCTAGGGATTGAACCCACAACCTACGTATGTGCCCTGACTGATAATTAAACCTACAACTTTTTCGTGTACAGGACACTCCAGCCACTGAGCCACCGGCCAGGGCAGGACAGGGCATCTTTTTGGGGAGATGCAAATGTTTTGGAATTAAATAAAGGTAATGGTGCATGATTCTCTGCGAATGTTAAAAACATTGTTGCACACTTTAAATGGGTGACTTTTGTGGCATATGAATTCCATCTCAACAGAGCTGTTAAACAACAAAACAAAAACCACACACAGCAACAACAACAAAACACGCGAGGGAAGTGCCCCTCCCTGGGTTCGCCAAGAGGCCAAATGTGGTGTGTAAAGCACCTGAGGACAAGGTCTCCTCTGAGGGCCCAGAAACCAGGAGTTCACGCAGGGCAGCTAACCTGCCGGCTGGCTTCCCAGTCCACTACAACGGGGCACTTACAGCGACCTGACAGGGGAACCTGGGGTTCCTCCAGAATGTGTGGGCTCAGCAGTGGCCTCACCACCTATCTCCTTCAGGTGACACGCCCCGCGGCCTACGGCCTCACCTTGTTCTGCTCGTACTTGTACAGGATCTTCAGAGTCTCCATGGCCCGGATCATGGCCTGCATGGCAGTGAAGATGTTCTGGTAGACCAGCTTGGTGAAGCCCCGCTTATCCTCCTCCGAGTAGCCAGCCCCGTGGATGATGCGCATCTGCTTAATGAACGTGCTCTTCCCGCTCTCACCCGTGCCTGCAACATGCAACATTTGCCCCGTGAGACAGAACAGGGATCCAGACCCACATGCTAACAGCTCACACACTCGCCTTTCCCCTGTGTCCCCTCACTTGGCACACCAGTAGCTGAGTCTCTGGGACACATGCTTCTGGCTCCAAGTGGCTCGCCCATCTTCAGAGGAGACATGGGACACACTTGGCCAACAGGCAACTACTCTTTGAAGCACATCCCTGAGATTTGCCTTGGTCATCCTTCCACTTGCACCTGTTGTACACAGGAGGAAACTGAGGTACGGAAAAAGGAAGAATGACATATGCAGGGTGTTGAGCCCCCAGGCCCACAGAGGCAGGCCCCTCCTCCCAAGTGTCCTGTCAGGTCACAGCGACAGGTGAGTGGCCACCTCACTGGGTATGAGTCAGCAGAGCATCCGAGTTTAACAGGGCTGCATATGAAGATTCGGAATCCCGTAGAAGTTACACGTCTCTCCACCAGAGGCTGCCACCTCCTTACGAGTCAGGCTTAGTGACCTCTCCCTTGGAGTGCACTCAGCCCTTTCCCAAGCCCCCCCGGATCCCTGTCTAATCTGGCAATGTCTGTTGACCTCCCACCACTCGTCTTCAATGAGTCCCTTCTAGAACATCTCCTTTGGGGCAGGAGTTTGGTATCTGCATCTCAGGCCACAGCAGTTAGGACCAAATCGAGTCGTAGGAATCAGGATCATCACCGCAAGAAGCTCCTTTCTGATTAGCTCCAAACTTGTAACCCACCCAATATCAAGCCATCCTGAAGGCTCCACCCCACATGACCACAGCACTGTGTCCCATGTCCACCCTGGGTGTCACCTCTCTGCCCTCCATCACCACATCCACTCTGATCTCTATTCTGGAAACCATGCCAATGGGCACATCACCGAACCCCTGTGTGTCTCATTTCTTCCTCAATAAGCATGCGGGGATACAACCACCTTCCTGGGCTTTTCTAGGGTGAGTGCTCTGACCCCCAACCTCAGAGAGGGGCACACTGAGGCTCTGCTGCCTCGACAAATCAGAAAGTCAGAAAACCATGTGAAAGGGGCCACTCGGCTGGCTGTGTCCTTACCTCAGCCTCAAGATGAGGCCCTGTCTCAATACACGCCATTCAACCAGGAGTCCTCTGTCCTCCGATCCCTCCAGCCCCACTTGGTCAGCCCACTTTTGTACACCCCACATACACACGCATAGGGACAGCAACTGCAGTAGCTTTTAATGTGTCCACAAACTTGGTAGAAGCTGAGGCTTCCCATCTACACCCACATGAGGAAGCCCCTGGAAGGGATTCCTCCAGCCCCTGCTGACTGCTTTACTGCAGACTCATGAGAGACTCTCAGCTAGAAACCTGAGAATCTTCAGAGATAACAAGTGTTTGCAGTTTTCAGCTACTAAGTTTTGGGGTGATTTTTTTTAAAATATATTTTTATTGATTTCAAAAAAGGGAGAGAGTCAGAAACATCAATGATGAGAATCATTGATCAGCTGCTTCCTGCATGTCCCCCACTGGGGATCAAGGCTACAACCCTGGCCTCTGCCTTGATCAGAATCGAACCTGGGGCCCTTCAGTCCGCAGGCTGAGGTTCTATCCACTGAGCCAAACCAGCTGGCCGGGAGTGATTTCACAGCAAGAGAGAACTTCTACATTCTAAGAATGCACTGTCTCAGGCCCTCAATAACACAACTCAGGTCCCCTCACAGACTGAACCCCTGAACCCCCTTTTGGGGACTCAGAGTATCCCAAACTTGCCGAACCCATTCCTCTAGGCTCATCTTTAGCACTTTCTGTAGAGTTGGTCTGTGCCTACCCACCTCCAGGTGTTTGCCAAAGCTATGCCTCTGTCCATGGTGCCATCTGCTCACAGCCACCTGTGACCCGGCCTGTGCCCAGAAACCCTGAGCCCAGGAGCAGCTCCCCTCCCTGGACACTGGGAAGCAATACCCCTGCCTGTGTGAGGAGTCTCACACAGCCTCTGTGACAGGGAGCCCTGGAGAAGAGACGATTCCATGGGCCCCCCAGTGATCACTGCCAGCAGCCAGGAGGTCTTCAACCAGTAACTGGCGACAGACGCTTGAGCTCACTCAGGGAAACCCAAGTCACAAATGAGACACATCACAAAGCAGGGACCCTGGCTGTGACTGCCTTTCTGGTAGTTTAAAAAAAATAAAATAAAATAATATATATATATATATATATATATATATATATAATATATATTTTATATATTTTATATATTTAAATATATTAATATATATATATTATTGATTTCAGAGAGGAAGGAAGGAGAGAAACATCAATGATGAGAATCACTGATTGACTGCCTCCTGCATGCCCCCTACTGGGGATCAAGCCCACAACCTAGGCATGTGCCCTTGACCAGAATCAAACCTGGGACCCTTCAGTCCACAGGCTGACACTCTATCCACTGAGTCAAATCAGCTAGAGCTCTGGTGCTTTTATTAACCAACTCAGGTTTTTTATGGAACAAATAAATATGACTTTGGTTCTGTCATCAAGTAGTAACGACCCCCAGACCATCCCCTACCATCCTATCTCAGACAATCACCTCAGCCACGAAATGTACAAGAGGCCAAAGGCTCACTTGCCCCAAACCCACCTGAGGCAGGAGGGGGTGTGGTCTGTGCATGGGCATCAGGTCCCAGCTGGATCCTCGCTGCCCCTCCCTCACACACTCTGCAGGGAGGGGCAAGTGGTGTGGTAGGAATGTGATTTCTTTTTTTCTTTTTCTTTTTTTTAATATATATTTTATTGATTTTTTTACAGAGAGGAAGAGAGAAGGAGAGAAACATCGATGAGAGAGAATCATTGATCGGCTGTCTCTTGCACACCCCTACTAGAGATGTGCCCACAACCAAGGTACATGCCCTTGACCAGAATCAAACCTGGGACCTTCCAGTCTATAGGCCGACGTTCTATCCCTGAGCCAATGCAACCTCAGGATTGGTCTTGGCAGGAATGTGATTTCTAATACATTTTCCTCTTGGCCAGGGTCCCCGCTTGGTACTGTTGACAGGTCATTCTCTGTGGGGGGAAGCTCGTCCTGGGCATTGTAGGGTGTTAAGCAGCATCCCTGGCTCCACGCAATGTCAGGAGCACTCCCAGTAGTGACAACCACAGATGTCCCTAGATACCACCCAGTGTAGTGTAGGGAGGGGATTAGTCCCATTTTTGACAAAATGCTATTACACAAAGGTAACTGCCTTGCTGGTCTGTCTGAAAGGCTCTCTCACTGGAAATAGTCAAACAGGTGCAAGAATTAAAGCCAAACACCCAGATGCAGCCCCACAGGTCAGCCTGAAGCCGAGCTGGGCAGGTCCCATGCTTAGTCCACAACACCTCAACTACAGAAGGAACAGTAGCTCAGGCTTTCACATGAGAATGCTAGGAGGACAAGTGAAGAGTCTGAAAACCAGATTACTGCTCAAATGGCCTCACACTGGCTTTTTTTTAAATGGAGGCAAAAATGACAATGAGAGCCCCCAGAGAGCTCTCCAGAGGCAGTACAGACACACTGGGTATGTATGTGTGTGTGTGTGTGTGTCAGTCATACACACATACATACATTCACACATGCAGTCTACGTAGTAAATCAGCATGTGACACTGTTTGGGTCCCAGGAGAGGAGGGGAGATGCGAGGGGAGTGTCTGTGGGGAGGGGTCCTGAATGCCACCTCAGGATTGGCGAGAAGCCGCCAGCCCCTGGAGACATCAGGGGTCCTGGGTGAAATGTGTGCCGAAGGTCATCAAACTCCTGTGGTCATCCAGTCTGCAAGCTCCCCCATCTACAGACAGCAGCCGTGATCACCTCCAGAAGAGGCAAAAACACACAAAAAAGCACAAGTACATGAGGTATTGGAGCTGTTAACTCACCTAATCGTGGCAATTGTTCACAATACATACCTGCTTCAAATCATCATGCTGTACTCCTTAAACTTACATGTTACATATGAATTGTGTCTCAGTAAAACTAGGAGGAAAAGCAAGAGATACCCCAAGGGTAAGGGGTAGGATGTGGAATGGTCAGTGTGGCATCAGTTTTCAAGTAAAAACAGAAAAAGAACGGTGGCAGCTGCAGAGATGGAAGGTCCATTGAAGAGGGCAACATGTGCTTCGTATTATCAGTGATCTGAGCCAACAGAGACTGAATGGGGAGACGCCAGTGCCAGCTCTAAGTAAGCCTCAAAGCCAGAAGCAGTGACAGGGAGCAGGAGCCAGCAGGGCCCTCTGCCCTGGAACAGGCCAGGTCCAGCTGGCCTGAGAAGTATTCAGCCACTGATATGTGTGGCCCAGAGTCTGCTGGGCCACACATATCAGTGTGGGCAGACTCTGGGCCACACAGTGCCAGCCAAAGTAACCTGTTTCAGATGCTCTGGCTGTGGCCTTCATTTTGAGCTGCCCTGTCTCCTGGCCAACCAGCTACTGCCACATCCTGTCAGCACATGTCACTTGTGACAGAATCTCTGACCCGAGTATTCCCCACATACCTGACCCAATGTCCACCTGCCCAGAGAAGTCTCATGCCACTCACCCAGTCTACTGCAGATTCCCCAGGGTCCTGGTCAGCGCCGCCCTCCTGGCCTCCAACTCATCCTGCCCAGTCATGCTCCCCCTGGGAGATCTTGTCACATAAAAATGTGCAAGACACCAATGATCAGACCTCATTCTGTCCACGTGAACTGGTCCACAGCACCCAATGTACCCCCAACCACAAAGTGGGTAGCTGCTCTGAACTCACACACAGTGTTCCAGGAAGCTTTCTTTATTCATAACGGATTCATGCACGGGGCGGGGTGGCGGGGTGGGGGCTGGGGGGCCTTCCAGCATAGCCAACGCCCTCTCGCAATCCAGGACCCTTGGGAGGAGATGTAGCAGTGCACCAAGTGGCAGGCGGCCAGGGAGAAGTCCAAGCGGGGGTCGGCCTGTGCCGACCCCACTGTGCTTGCTCAGTCGTGCTGCCACGGAGTCAG